TCACCCTCGAACCTTTGTCGTATAATCTTCAACGATGTTCGAAATCAGAAGGCAAAAAGAAGCAGCTACTACAGTTTTATTTAGTAGATAATTCGGACCAGACAACAGAGAGGCAAAATGAATGAGCAAGCGAACTAAGATTGTAGCAGTAGCAAGTAGTTGTAGTGAATGGGTGCAAATGTACACATATATATATGTATAGGAAAATGGATGAGTCTGCGAATAGATTAAGCAGTTAATAATGAAGCTAGCAGAATGAATACATGCGTAGGCGCTAAACAATGTTCAAGCATATGTATTTCATACAAGCATAATAATAAAGATAGTACAACAAGTTGTTATATCATGGATGACTTTGTCCATTAAATAGGTCAACAAAAGACCTTGACTGAACTAAACTCAATTGCACGTGAGTCACTATAAGATAATAGCGACCGATGGTTAGAGACCCTGAATGACATGGCTCAAAATCGTTTGCAATGGCGCAGATGCATCCACTCTTTGTGTTCTCCCAAATTCTAATCTTCCAAATTCTTCATGTCCCTTTTTTCCTCTTTCCAAATTTATTTCACTGAATTATAGTCTTTAAGTAACATCTCCAAACCCTAATCTTCCTGATCATTGCTTACACTCTTGCTACCTCTAACACTACGGGATTTGAATCGACCACTGCAGCTCTGTGCTAATGTGGTATGGCAACTCGAACTGATGTACGTACGTACGAAGTTCCACGTTGTTACTGATGATGATGATGAATAATTTCCATGTACTACTTCTCCGTGATGTTAATATATATAATTTCACCCGGTTAACTCCTAAGAGAATTTGTTAATAAGGATTTTTTAGATGATTAGTTGACTATAAAACTTTTTATGATGAATATGCAGAAGGGACCACCTCAGGGTTGAAAATAATTGTAAAAAATAAATTCACATCTATTCGCTCTGTTTTACTTGTCTTCTCATGATTTTGTTGATTTCTTTCTCCTATGCCCGACGCATACAGTGTAGCACCTTGAACTTGGACATTACTACATACAGTTCAATACTATTGTCTGTGAAATAGGACGACTACGCATGATATCATATCATTTTTTTACTGCTGCTACGTTCATGGGATGGTCGGGCTTGCCTGCTTTGATGAATTAATTGTGCTATATTTTCTGGAACAATCGTTCCTCAAGATCGGTTGAAGAACGGCAAAACTAAAAGCAACAAACTCAACGTCCGAGGACGAAGTGGTACTACTGACTGTAGAGAAGTGTGTCGGCATTAAGGTGTTTCCCTCAGACAACCAACATAACAGCGACGCTGCCTTCTCTGGGATCTAATGGCGTTGATGTATCATATGTCTCTGGAACGCGCATACACAGGATATCAGTGTGATGCTGTACGGCTGAACGGTTTCTTAAGAACTCGGAAGCACATCGTTGCCTTTATTTCACTTCTGACTACGCATCCACTGACTGCTGCACTGATAAAGTGAAGGGTGAGTTTTACAGAAAGCTTTTTGAACTTTTTCAAAAAGCTAAAGGCTCAGACATAGTGCTCGTAGGTGATTTAAATGCTCAATTAAGTAGCTTAAACCAAACAGAAAAACATTTCAGTGGGTATTTACTTATTCCGGCTCAGCGAACAGATAATGGTGATGTCTGCTGCAAACTGTGTTCAGACAATATTTCACTCCTGACAAGCGCTAACTTTAAGCATAAGGCGAGACACCGTCTAAGATGGCAACGTCTTGCACCATGCCAACGACGGAGAGGCTTGGTGGAAGACTTCCTCTCGTTCTGGAATACATGTTTAGACTCTGATCATGCTCTAATACGGGCACACATTTGCTTGTGTCTCACTGGACACAGAAAAGCCACAGTAAGAAGAATTATTCGAGTTGAACTCAGTGACGGGAAAGACAGGTAACGTCCAGGAAGAAGTAAAGTCACACTTAGGCAGTTCTGAAAACAAGGCTGACCCAGATGTTGTTTGGAAAGATATACGAACAGCTGTGGAAATAGCAGCGACATTGGTGACTTGGACCAAATGGTCACAAAAAACTACTCTACTAAGTTTATTGTACTGATGCATTCTTGTAAACTCATCCCATCGAGCTCTGAACACAACAAAGAGCGTAAAGAGAGGAAATTTTTGTTAACCAAAATTCTAAGGAACGACTGTGAGCAGTGGTACGCAAAGAAAGAAAGGGCAGTGGCTGTAGGTAACGCAAGACAGCTCTTCAGACTAATAAAAGTGAGACAATCTTGGAAAAAGATGACAGTTATCTGTTTTCAGTCCCGACTTTTAGAACGATGGGCGAAACACTAAGGAGCAGTTCAGCTACTCTGCGTCTACTTACTATTTTCAAACAGCCGGGATGTAACATTGAAATAGATGCCCAGATCTAATTGAAGTCGAAAAAGTAGTAGCTAATCTGAAACGAGGAGCAGCTAGTTCAGACGAATTAACTTCAGAGGTCTTTAAGCATGGTAGTCGTTTTAACAGTTAGGCTAACTGATATTTTAGCTAAAGTCTGGGAGTTGGACGTAATCCCATCTCACTGGTCGCAATCACTGGTTGTCTCAATATATAAGAAGTGGATAAAATCATCCTGTAACAACCATAGATGGATAAGTTTGACTAAAGTACCATCTATTATACTAGCCTCAATAATTATCGGGCGCCTAACTAAGACTGGTGAACTGCAAACACGAAAAAACCAGGCTTGTTTCAGAAGTGGTCGTGGCTGCACCGAACACATGTTCAGCATTTGTCAGATCTTAGAACACAGGCATGCGTATCGACGTCCGACATTGAGTTTTTGTCGAGTAGAAGCAGCATTTGACTGTGTAGACCGAAAGGTTCTGTGGCAGTGTCTCAGATATACGTAAAGTGTGAGGGATCTTTAGTCGAACACCAGCAGTCGAGTCAGAGCTTATGGTGAACTGTGATCTGATTTTGCAACCTCAAGTAGTGTCCGACAAGACTGTTCATTACCTCCATTTTTGTTTAGTTTCATCACAGAACTACTGCTGGAAATAACGTTCTCGCCGTCAGAATATTCGCAGATGACAAAGACCTGATTGGTGAAGACGCTGATAAAATGCAGTCTTTGATAGCATTGAGCAACAATGCCAGGATGTTTGGAATTCATTTCTTCCCCTTCTAAATGCAAATTGTTGCATCAATACTGGCTTGTATCAACACCTGAACTATGAATAGAGAGTGACGTAGTCGAATGCGTCGACAACTCCAGTTATCTTGAAGGTTCGATCAACCTTAATTGGTTGGTGTCTGACTAAATCTCTGCGCGGATTCGAAAGCTCGTTTGGCTTTTGCTAACTTACGTTACCGATGGCGAAGTAGAAATATCCGTCTATCAATAAAAGTAGGCAGTTCATTCTGCCCTACTTTACGGCTGCAAAACGTGGCAATTAAGGGTAGAGGATACTCTTAAGTTGCTAGCACTTGATCATATATGTCTTAGAAATATTGCCAGCATCTCCCGGGTAAGTAATAGTGAAGCTAGACGAAAAATGCTAGTGATTGATGATAAAACAGTTGATGAGGTTGTGGATAGTCATCGACTAAGATGGTTGAACCACTAATTATTTCTCCCTAAATCATATCCTTATATGCAATCTTTTTTTCCATATATTATTACCATTGAAGTAACTGCTTCTATGAATTGGGTGTTCATCTTGTTGTGCTAATTAGGTATGACAACTTGAAACAATGGATATATGTTCCTGGTCATGCGCTGTATATGACTGACTGACTGATCAGCGACTGATGGTGTCATATAGATACAGTTTTAAATCGTAAAAACCAGTCTGTCAATTAAAAGAAAACTGAGAAATAAACATTGACGCATTCGATAATAAATAAATATTATGATCTTTTTTTCTAGCTTGCTTCATTTGTTCAAGTAAATTAGCAAAAAGCAATAATTTTAATAATAACAAAGATAAATAGGAAGTTGACAGCTGTGAGTAGATAATTATTTCTAAAAACAGTGGTTTTCATCACTTGTGCGTGACTGTAATCAATTATCAATAAATGAGTAAGGAAAATGAATCTTTTTCAGAGGAAAGACTAGGTTACAATGGTAGTTAAAGAAATACTAAGAACATAAATATAAACAAAATAACCTGAAAGCAAAACGATAAAGCTAAGTGTCAATAATGGTGCTATTGTTACTGTGTGTACGTGTATCCAGGACAGAGTTCTATGGAGAATGCTGGTGAGTGACCTATGATCCTCCACAAAGGGTAACAAGCGTAAGTGCATATGTATCGATTTCTTGTGTCCATCAAGATGAAAATGTTAGACACATGAGTGAAAGAAGAATAAAACTGACAAGATAAACCATGAGTAAAGTTGTCTTAGAGATCAAAATTTGATGGAAAGAAGTTATGCAGAAACGACAAAGTCGGAATACGATTAAATAAACTCAAGATGAACAGAAACGAAAAACGAAAAAGAAAACGACTGGCAAAAGGCAAACAAACATAATCAAAAATATAGCTGTCATAACTAATTGAAATAATATTATATTTCTATCATTGTTATTATTATTATCTTGAGAGAAATAAAAATTAATTTTATCACCTGTGAGCAAATTGTCGGAAAATAGAGGAAAAGTAAATAAATGAATAAAAGTTATCTTTGTAACAATTGCATAACATGTATATCAAAATGAATGGAAATTAAATAAATTTAAAGCATAAATGCCCTATTGAATAAAATGACCAATGTCAATACAACACACAAATAGCAATAACATAAACATTAAACTAAGTATAAACACATTATAATCAAAGTATTTTACTATTAGTTAAACAATAGATGGATTATTTGAAAAACGTTGTTGATGATTATCATAGGATTCAATTAAATGCTCTTCAAAACAAATAAACCTTGAAGGTGGATTTACATGATGTGAATTGATTAAAGGGATATAAGGAGTGTTGTTGAATGAAGATAACCGGGTAGCTGATCGATGTCTTATGCATCCGGAAATCTACAGAATAGTAGTAAGCAACAACAACATAAACGGAATATTTAATTAATAGTATTATGGCAAAACATAAGATAGAAACGTATATAAACTGAATAGACAACAGATATGATGTGATGATAGTTGTCATTACACATTGAAGTAAAATGGAGAGAAAAACAAATTGAAAAACCAAATCTCACAGAGAACACTATACACTCAATGGTATACACTATTAAATAATATTTAAATTCAATCCATTTTCATGAACAACAGGAAGAAAAAATGAATTATCCAAATTTTTTTCGAATTCTGACTTGAATAATGGGGAAAGAATTAAAATGGTATTTACAAATCACTGAAAGCTTTAAATTTGACAACTAACTATCTAACAGGGAGTCCGATTTTTTACAAAAATAAACATGCGTGTAATTGAGAGTTGTTCTTTTAGTACAGAATAACAATTTAAATGTAACAACTTAAGTCAAAATATATGTTTCCCCAGTTTCACCTTATGCCTAGATTATTTTAGTAATCTTTTTCAACTTGTGAGATCGATTTGTTTAGTGAAATCACACCATTTACATTTTTAATACGACAACTGTGATACCATTGATTGATATGAAAATAAAAGAAACATACTTTAACAATTTACGACAAAACATAGTATAGACAACATTATGATCAACAAAACACGATAGAGGAATTACAATAATAATACGACAATACTACATCACTATTATTACTTAAGTCATTGGTAAATAACTATCATTACTTACTGAGACAATAGGTTTTCGGAGACGAACACTAGATGGGTGGTATTAAGTGAAGGAAGGAGAGGATACACTTAGAAGGTGAAATAAACACAAAGACTAAAATGAAATGAAAAAAATTGTAACCTGTTGATTATTCACAAAAACTGCTGATTAAAACGTCGGAAGTGAGAAAGAAGATTGAATGAAGCTATGTTGCAGGCTAATACTGAGAACCACCGTCTTCCCATCTTGATGGAATTAACTAACTAACATTTTATCACATTTTCCCTTATCGATAGTAAGTTTATTTTATTTGCATATACAATAAGCACTGTATACAGTATCGTTTAAATCATCAACCGACCAAAATTAAACTAGGAAGCACTGGACGACCGATTAGTCTTAGTATGTGACTCCCCATCAGTGCTCACTCACTACCCTGACAATGAGAATCAAACCCAAGATCTTCAGCCCCATGTGCAGACGCTTAATCTTTAAACCACTCAACCGGCATTCAATTATGTTTATAAAATATCTTTAGTGGTATTTAACATGATATAAGCAAAAAGACAGGCTGTTTAGTATTCTAGTAAACTAAATGTTCACAAAAAGAGATTAATCTATCACACTAACTGATCTTACCCAATATTTACTTCACCACCTGTGTTATTATTCACCTTTGGTTTTCGTGTACATACCGACCTAAAAGAAAATGAAGTACATTATCCACAATGTATAAATGTAATTTCAACGTGCATATGTGTGCGTTTACATTGAGGGAAAAATCGTTGCCATATGTATGTAATTATACTAATACAGATAAAAATCTATTTGCAATATTTCAATGAGTAGGAAACTGAATTTTTGACATTTCGTGAATTGTTGTAAATCAGCTTTTCAACAGAATAAATAAATGTCAGTATAGAAGTTTATGGAGATTGCTGAGTATTATTGAGACCAGGAATCGACACAAGCTCGACAACCAATGCAAACCAGAAAGGACTGGACAGGTGTTTGATCCTAATGTGCGACTCCTCAATAGTGCCCATCTACTAACCGACCGGACATAAAACTTAGGACGTCTACGTCTCGTATCGAACGCCTAACGTTTAGGTCACTGAGTCAGCGACCAATGGTTTGCGTGTTTACTGTCAATCAATACATGGCATTGGCTCAACCATTTTCCATTTTCGGTGAGGCAGTCGCATAGTAGGGATCCACTTCTTCCTGGTTTTCATTAATTGATTTTAGATCACAATGGACAACCGAATTAAAATTGATTTTAACTAGCATGGAGGAACAAAAAAGGTATTACGTACAGTGCGAACAAACGTAATAATGCTAATGTTACATCACTCAGGTCAAAGGTGAGACAATTTTTGTGTTTATCGATGCATATCTAGGTGGGTATGAAAAATGTGAAATTCGTAATGTGAAGATGTAGAGCTGATTTGTGTGTTAACAGGTGTACCTAATGTGACTGTTTGGATAAGTACTTCATGTTAGATGGATAATTAAGCTTTCCTTTTGATTGAGTGCAGTAGTGTTCAGCAATATACAAAATGCTTTAGCCATTCGTATTTTTCGATGCTTGAAAAAAACTTGATTATTTGGATATAGACATGATAGTGGCTGACAGTGATTTGAAATTGTGTTGTCGTCTTAAATGCATAATTTAATTATGTAAAAAGGTTAATAATCAAAGTAATTCCTACTAAAATTTGAAAGACTTGGGGTTTAATCCCGTGTAAAGCAACTGTTCATCTGACTTTAATTTGTCAACAGCTTTTTATCTAAGTTCAGTCCCTAACCAAAACAATTTTCAAATTACACGGTGTTACTACATATTCCAATAAACAGTAGTGAGCCGGTGGTTAACACTAGGATTTTTATTGTTCATTCCATGTCATTCAACTCCATAAAAAGGTTCGGATGATGAGCTATATCAATTAATTAGTTAGGTATCTACAATGTACAACCTGAAATCTATGTCCACAGCAGTTCAAGTTGCTATACCACGTTAGCACAACGAAAATAAATTATTTCAAGACGTATCTCAAAATACTAGAAACGCTCAGTGAAAAAAACGTTTTAAGGAAACTTCGAGACTGGAGTTTTGAAGAAAGTCATTTACGCAAATTCGAACCATTCTGAGCCACTTCATTCAAAGTATCTATTTATTAGTTATGATAGCCGTGCGGTCTCTAACCAGCTAGATTTGTTAAAATAAACATAAGACTGCATTAACTAAAAATAAAACAAGACACTTGAATACTGATACTAAACACAAACCTGTATCGTGGATTATTACATTGACTTGACCTAGGTTTTCTAAGTTTAGGACCAGCTGAAACTCCTCCACTATTACCATTCTTCTTTCGATTTACATACCAACGATATTGATTTTGAATTAAAAGTGCAGCTTGACATAATCGTTTATAATATGCATACTAATGAAATAGAAAAAAAGTTGAATGCTACAATTAATCATATACACAAACAAGTATTAATCTTCGTAGACACCGAGCATTCAGTAGCTCTTCCTGATTAACTCAAATATTCATTAAGTTACCGATATGTGTTATCATTGGAGTTCCACAGGTCAGTCGTAATTCAAATAGCTAATTGCTAAAATCTCTGACTGCGGTGCTATGTGGAACTGGTTTGAATTTCTAGTGATCAGTTTTCAGAAGATCGTAGATACACCTTATTGATGTCCATCAATCAGTACGAAACTTAGATAGAGGACGTTTTCCCAATTTCCTTCAGCCACATGATACTGGGAAAAATTCATCTTAATGTTAGTCAAGTAGCTTAATTGTCATAATATGAATCTGATGAATTTTTTCCAAAATGAGTTCAAAAAAGACAAGAAACAAGAGAAATTGTCGTGTCACATTAATTTTTCAAAAGCAAAATTAAAGAACATTGTGAAGTAAGGTGAATTCATTTCTATTTTTCTGTAAATCAAATGACGCGAAATAGAAGATGATACAAATACGCTACACCATTCATAAAGAATAATTTCTAACAAATATTCAATAATAATTGTTTCATGCAAAGTTTACATTAAATAAGTCAATAAGTTACTGGTTACAATGGAAAGTAAACAAACGATAGATAAACGGAATACACCCATTATGACATTAAATAAGAAAGAAAGATTAGTTCAGCGAAGAGTTCTCATTTCGGCAAATTCATTTTCAAAGCTGTACAATCACAAATATATATACTTATTTCTACAGGGTGATAATAATACTGATAATAAACTTCTGTTATACATGATGAGCGTGAGGTTAAATAAAACTACTTAGAAATAATAAAGACTTGCTTATAACACGTCCAGATAAAGGTGCTGGTTTAGTGCTGCTAGATCGCAAGAGTTATGTTGAAAAAATGGCAACGTTATTATCAGATGACACCAAATTCTCAAAACCCATCAATGAGAAAAACAAGACTGAAATTAAAGAAAAGCAACTAATTGACGTTCTTAAGCGAATGAAAAATAAGCACTTAATCAACGAACAGGTCCCTGAGCATATAAAACCAACAGCATCAATAATAATATCGCGATTATACAGTCTGCTGAAAATATACAAACCTGGCCTACCTCTTAGACCGATTCTCGATACGTCAGGATCCCCTTACCACTCTATAGCAAAGTGGTTGATGAATCTCTTAGAACCTGTTAGAAAACTCATTTGTACAAATTCCCTAGGTGATACTTTTGAATTTATCGAGCACATAAAAGAAGTGAATGTAAGTGACAAAATTATGCTATCTTTGGATGTGGAATCATTATTCACAAATGTTCCACTCACAGAGACCATTAATTTTATCTGTAAGTACACAAACAATAATGAGATAAACATGATGATACCTGAGGTTTATTTGGAGGAACTATTACTACGTTGCACTTGCAATGTACAGTTCACATTCAACGATGTAATTCATAGACAGAAGGATGGTATAGCAATGGGAATCCCCACTTGGTCCATTACTGGCAGATTGCTTCATGGCCAGTTTAGAAAACAACCAACTCAAAAGAATTATAGAAAACCTCCACTTGTATGAAAGGTATGTGGATGATATCTTTATCATTTGTGACAACAAATGTAACTTAAGTGATCTCCTAGAGACATTTATTAATTGTCACCCATCAATAAATTTCTTACTTGAAGTTGAAATCAAACAAAATATTCACTTCCTTGATGAAGATATGACAAAAAAATAAGATGGTAATTTAAAAAGGTCTATCTACAGGAAACCCATGTGGAATGGCCAACTATCTAATTTCCAAAGTTGGGTTCCCATCAGCCGAAAAAGAAACTTAATAATAACTCTCATCACAAGAATACGAAGAATCTGTAGCCCCGAGGTCGTACAGGAAAAATTGAACCTATTAAAAGAGATACTTATCAAAAACGGATATCCTTCTATATTCATTGATAAGAACATGAAGCCGAAAATGCCAAAACTACAAACAATTACAGCAGAAAAAATTTTTTATACATGAACACCGACTTCAAAGGTGATAGAGCCGCACATATCTTAAAGGGGAGAATTTCGGATTCTTTAAAAAGAACATTCTTCGCAGCAACATTGCGAATATTATTCTCCAGCCGATCACTGTTCATCAATAATCTGAAAGATAACTTATCGCATCTGACCAACTCAATGTGTATTTACCAATTTACCTGCTCTTGTGGAGCTAGGTATATAGGTCGTTCGATGCGTACTTTATCCAAAAGAATTCAAGAACATTGTCCGGCGTGGCTAAAAAGAGGCGGCAACGGCTCTATAAGAAGTTCTATAATCGAACACCTTGTGAACACAGGTCACTCAATCAAGACAGACTCTGCCTTCAAAGTCATCCACAAGGTAAGTAGAAGCCTTCCTAAGACAATCAGACTGCATCTTCTTTGCATTGCCGAGGCAATAGCCATGCATTTTGAAAAACCAGAATTATGTGTACAAAAGAGACTGATACAGCCTCTTCTACCATGGTCTTAATTTATTAAAAAAATTTTCTCTTTCTTCATACTCTCGTTCCCTTACAGCCACCTGCTTTACCTTCCATCTTCCCTTCGAATCTTCTACCCCCAACCGGTTTGTTTTTATTTCCACGATCATTCCGATTACATTTCATCTCTGTTTCAACATTTTATTTTATTATGCTGAGCCATCCTTACCCGATGAATACTTGAGCCATTAACTATCAAACGATTATTAAACTTTCCTTGTTTTATAAAAAAACTTTTTTTCTAATACCTTTGTTTATTTAACCTCACTGTCACCATGTATAACAGTTTATTATCAGTATTATTATCACCCTGTAAAAATAAGTATATATATTTGCGATTGTACAGCTTTGAAAATGAATTTGCCGAAAAGAGAACTCTTCGCTGAACTAATCTTTCTTTCTTATTAAACGACAGATAAACATACTAAGTACCTGTTTATAACGTCTATAATAACTTTGAATAGTAATTGCAGCCTCAATTTCTTTATTACATGGCCCACTAGATGATGAAGTCATTGGTGGTTGTGGTGAATTCAATGATTGTATTGAAGTTGAGATACAATTGGAAAAGTTAGTTGTTGTTTCCAAACAACAATTGGAGTTTGTTTCTCCAGGTAAAGAAAATTGACCAGACTGAATAGACTGAACTTGATATGAATTATCATTATCATTGGTTATTGTATTATCGTATGATGTTTCTATTTCCACTTCAAGGCCTACAGATGTATCATTTTCGAAACCCAGTAAAACATCATTATTCCATTCTTGTTTATCAGTTAGAGAAATGACAGTATTGTTGTTCTGCTGAAGTTGTTGTACAAACTGATGCGTGTTGTTAACATCACACACACTTTTTGAATAAGCATTATTATTGGATAAGGATTTATCAAAAGTACTTAAATCTGTTTCAGTAGTATGATCATGGTTTGATGAAGAGCATAAAACATGATTAGGTATAAATGTATTGGACGATTTATTATTATTATTATTATTATTATTATTATTATTATTATCATTATTTTGAATAATCGCCGACTGATTGTGTTTTTTATAAGCTCGATAATATTTCTGTATAATTTTGGCTGCTTCGTATAAACGTTTCTGTTCCATATCCGATAGAGTTAATCTACTTAAGTCAGTTTCCATAAATTTTCCTGGTACTGCATTAAAATGTTCAGCAATTTGTGCTGTAGACGGTGGTGGACTATTTAAACTGAAAGCGCTTAATGATTTCCCATGACGATCATATCGAAGTACATCATAATCATTTTCATTATTTAAATCTGAACTCATAAAACTAGTAGAACTAAAAGGTGTATCGAACATTGAATTCGACGTGATAACTCCACTATAAATAATAAAGACATTAAAACAATTATTGGAAAATCGAGGTGGAGTGAATGTATAAAATTTTCAAAACTAATTAAGACGATCTAAAATTTCATTTTCAAATCTTCGGAAACCTACCAGTGGACATAAACTCAGAGTAGTACCGAATATTGGACTACCGATTTCTAGTAACCAAGTATAATCAAGTCGCATGCGAGACGAAAGGTCCAAAGCTTGATTCTCTGTAACATGATTGTGGATGTGCTCTGATGAGGAGTTTCATACTAAAACAAAACATGTCCAGTGATTTCAGGTTTTCCGTGGTGGTATAGCTGAAATCGATTCGTAATTTAAACTATGAATATAGTTCAATTAGTCAACGTACGTTGCTCACCATTGGCTAGGAACGACCTATTTCAAAATCAATTGTTGAATTGAAGTAATGATAAGAATTGCGATAACCCTCGTATCTGTGGTTTAGGTTAGAAGAAGGCAAAGTGTAACTCGTGAGATCATTAAAACAATTTAATCCTAATTATTTATAATTAATTTTTAATACTGTTGATATTTTCGACTGAATTCCGAATCATAAATTGGTATATATGCAGACTGCCTCAATGTGACACTTAAGCTACAAGTTTTACAGATTAAATCAATTATGGCTAGAAGTGGAACTGTCCTATTTGGGACTCTTCAGCTGATGTATCTTCATCCGAGTACCGATGTAAACCTTAAGGATAGAACTTACCAAATTTCGCTTCAAACGCTCAGCGCGTTGTCCATTCGGCTACTGAGTTCAGAGAGCCGCTAGATCGTAAAGTAGGCATTCAATTTAATCTGTAATGGTTTGAATTAACCTGTTATCGATCTTATTTGATGCATCCTAAAAAGGACAAAACCTAAGTCCTGGATTCCACAATCCATCAATTCTATAAAGAGTGCGAACTTATCTTTTGCGTAAGATATTTTGTGCAAGCTGAAACACTCAAATATAATTTAAGACATAAACAGAAACGAATGGTTCAATTTTAATTAGAAAAAAATTGGATGTTATGCTTATCGTAGTAGTGGATTCATACTCATGATGAGTTACATACTACGAAAGCATTAATTTGAAGCTGTCTGATTTCCAATGGTTATCTAGTTTGTTAGCAAGCTATCAATAAAAAATAATGTATCGTAATCATAAAATTACACGTACGTTTCATGAGAATTCAATTCAACACTGATTTCATCATCATCATCATTGAAAGTTTGCAATTTACTTTTATTTTTTTGTATAGGAGGAGTAAAATATGATCTTCTTCTCAAAGGTTCATGAAAACTAAGTAAAGCACTTTTTAACTGATGATTCACTTTATTCTCTGGATAATCATCGATGCCAGCACCACGATATCTAAAACTGTTATATAATGTCAAATATTTATCACGATAAGGTCGTTTCGACGGAAGTGAATTAAATGAACCAATTGATTTATTATTTTTATGATTATTACTAACTGATTTTGTTGTTATATTTGGAAAGATTTTAACTGAATATTTGTTTGTATCATCATTATTTGTTAACTGAATAGGATTAATAATAGAACTAGTATTAGTGGCTAAAGTGAATGGTTCATAATGCAACAATGAAGAATGTGACTTGAGTTGGTCAACTGGTGCTCGACTCAAAGCAATACTTTCACCTAAAGCTGAATCAGAAAACTGGATAGAAGAAGAATGGGACTCTTGACCATCATAATTATTTTCATAATCTACATGAGTTGATACCAGATCATCACAATTTTGATTATGAAGATTAACAATACGCCTGGGCATAGCCTAAAAAGATATTTTGAAACAGAAAAAAAATATGATGGAAAGTGTTTTAAATATAGAGAAAAATAAGAGCTAGAAGACAGAAGTAGGTAAATACTTAACAGTATTCAATAGGTATATTGTAAGGATTTGAGTTCCCATCTCTGAATTTCTTGGTTGAACATTACACTGACGTCAGTTTGACTAACCCGATAGCATAGTTGAATTTCACATTAAAAAGAATGGCTTAATGTGGGTTACATAAACTTATACTTAGTTGATAAATTGCTTTTTCGTAGATGCTAAGTGATAACCAATATATTGAATCTGGCATCGGTTTAATCTGTTGATACCACCTGTAAAAAGAAGTTTATTATATCAAATCACATCAAGGATGTGGATTTTAAATAAACCCTAAAGTGTCTTAGTTTTTTTATTATTATAAATACTGTTGTTACACAGTTTAAATATCAAAAAAAAATTGAAGGGTTTGTAGTACTGAAATTCCGAAGGCAGATTAATTCAATGCTGAAAATATTAACAACAGAAATCAAGAAAAACGAAACCTGAATACTATGTATAAAATTTAGTTACTGAAGATGTATGAACACGTAACGAACAACTAGTACAGGTAATCATAAACGAGTATATAGCCAATGTCATTAGAAAGATGTGACGAGGTATTTTTAACAGTCATCTAAAAATACGCTTATTGAACTTGATATGTGAATTTTGAGCTCTCTAGAGATCGATAATGACTGGTAAAGCATGTCGGTACAGTTATGGAAAGAAATCTATACCATCGCCGATTCCTCTTACTAATATTTGAAGTAGGTGGACGAGGAAATGGTGCTTTATATGTTCCTTTCATTTCGTTTTCAATTTTTCCATTTGATCTCACGTTATGATACTTGTAATAGTAAATATTCACACATCGTTCTTATTCGTCATGTGACCTGAAGGTTCTGTGATCCTTATACGATGTGGAGTCCTCGTTGTACATTTCTAATAAATCACAAACTAGAACAAAACACAATTGTTCTCATTAGTTGGTGCCAGTTTATAATGAAACCTATCTTTCTATTTACTAATAGACTATTTTATTCCATCATTTTCATCAGCATTGTTAATTCATACAACCCCTTCTCAATCAGTCATTTGTTAAAAGAAAAAATGCTGTAAAGTTTGTAAATATTTTCTGGAGAATTAGAAATTGAACCTGTTCTAAAGTGTTCTAGTTATTTAACAGAAATATTATCTTCAATTAAATTGAATTCACATAATTGAATTTGTTTTTTATTGAATTTATGATGGGAATGTATTTTGTGGATAGATTGTTCAATTCCAAATGTTTTAAACAGTTAAAAACGATTTGGATTTATGAATAAATATGCACATTTCACAATATTTATGTGTGCATTAGCCATTAATTCACTTCCGTTTGTGTATCACTCTATACTACTTATTTATATTCAGTAACCCGTTTCGACTTTAAAAACTTTTGAGCGTCTAGTGAAAAGTATATCTATTGTCATATGATATTCTTGAGCATTGAGATCAGCTGACAATATTCAATGTATTTATTACTGTGTTCACATCTGTATAATACGTATAACTGATATTTTTAATTCTACTGTACCTATTGGACGTTCTTTTTATTGTAGCGGTTCCCATATTTGATGATCTTCGTTCATGTTTTGACGTCATCTGTCACTTTAATTTCGGCACATATATCAGATGTCACGTCTTACCGTACGTTGTTACAAAGTTCCCTCTATATCCATTCGAAGGAGCACTTTCATGTGATTGTACACGAGCTCAGAAAAAAGTGTGGATACCATACGAGTTTAGATTTTTAATTTATTTTTTTGTCCCTATCTTTAAAAAGGGTTCACGTCGTTCCTGTAACAACTATCGGGAGATAAGTCTACTTCCGATTGCGTCCAAGCTATTGGCCTCCGTCATACTTCGTAAGTTGTTCAAAACCCGAGAAAGATTTATTAATAAACAACAAATTCCGATTAAGAGATTACATCAAGTGAATTAATAAAAATGAAACCAATAGCATGAAACCCTTACCCATAGAGACATAAAATAATAAATATTGATTCATAGAAGAGTTCTCTTTTCGTCAAATTCACTCACAAAGCTGTACGATTGCAAATATATACAGATTTTTTAAGATGATAATATTTAAAATAATTTTATTATCATTATTATTGTAATTATTATCATGCTGAAAAAAAGTACATATTTGCTATTGTACAGTTTTGATAAAGAATTAGCCTAAAAGAGAACTCTTCACTGAACTAAACTATTTTATTTTATAAAACACTTACTTCAATTATTCTGTCAGCTAAACAAAACATTTGAGAATGATCATCATTCATTAAATTCGTTACACTAGCATAAAGAGAAGTTGAATCTAAACAACCATGATGATAATGATGACGTCGATTGTATGTTTGTTTACGCCAGGTACATATATTTTTACGTTGTATATTTGAATTCAAAGTAATGTCATCCTCATAAAGTTGATGACGAGTATCAAACGAATTGTTGTTATTCTCGATTGCATATTTAAAATTATCTGGATTATCTACAAAGTGATTGGTTGCTGGAGTTGGTAAAGACTTTAAAATTTTATTCACGTTTTTTGAATGATAACTTGTACTAGAGATATTATGTAACGATGTTGAGTGATAAAGTGATTCTTCTCCTGGAATATCATCATCATCAATAGATACGTCTAGACTATAATTTTGCTTTGAATAGTCTAACTTAATCATATTCGATTGTGTATATAACAATGAGTGAGTAAATGACGACGGTTTTGTATTAACATCAATTTCCGTTAGATCAATATGATTTGGTGGTGAAAATGTTTCCGTATAATTAATAAGTCTTTCTAATTTAGTTCTAACAGTATCTGTTGCATAATTTTGTGCGTTTGATGAAAAATATTGTACTTCTAATTGTTCAATACACTTTTGCATAGATTCACTTTTGATAACCAATGCTAACTAGAAAAAAAATAAACCAGAATTTTATTCAATCAAAACAAAAACGTAATTAACATTAAAAATCATCAGAATGGGTTTTGTGGAGATTTTAGAAATTTCACAGATTGAAATCATGAGTCAGTTGAAGCTAGACCACCATTGAAAACCTGGAAGCACTGGACGGCCGTTTCATCCTAGTATGGGACTCCTCAGCAGTTTCAATCTGTGAAATTTCTAAAATCTCCACAAAACCCATTCTGATAATAATCAACTGCTCACTAGTGACTGACTTCAGGAAAAACTCCCGAAGTTTTAGTGAGAAGCCGTTACCAGTGGAATTCAACCAGGTCTGTTGTGAGATAGGAACTCACTGAAGACAATGGTGTACGGTGGCGCAACTTCGTGGATTGGTTGAAGTTAGACATTAACACTGTTGGATGTTAGCTGAGTGGTCTAGTGGATAAATGCTCGCGCGCGAAGCCATTAGGTCCTGGGCTCGAGCCCCGCGTGGTGCGGGATCGTGGATGCGCACTGTTGAGGAGTTCCATACTAGGATGAAACGGCCGTCCAGTGCTTCCAGGTTTTCAATGGTGGTCTAGCTTCGACTGACTCATGATTTCAATCTGTGAAATTAAAAATCATGTTGACGAGATTTGTTTTAAATCAGAAAATGATACAAACTTATTTACTTTTTCAATCTTCCATTTCATTTCTTCAAATAATGACCAATAACAAAGTAAAACTAACTTTATCATTTAATGATGTTAATGAATTTAACATAATGAAATGATTTACTTATGAGAAAGACTTTACAATTATGTTTACATCTATAAGTCTATGAATTCGTTTTGTATGCATTATGAATCTTTCATAAAACAAAACATTGGACTTAGATCCATTCTTACTAATGGCTATTAATAGTAGTAGGTGAGTGCTCATAGAGTAGAATAGATAAGAATGATATTGAAGGTTATGAAACAATTAACAACGCTGCGTATGTGTGATTTAATGAATAACTAAACAATATTCAAATAATCAAGGTGATTTTTCTTAATGATTCATTAAATATTTAGAGCAACAAGACAGAATGGTGCAGAAAGGTTCAGAACTTGATATAATTTAAACTATTTTTATAATCAGATAACACAATTTGAAGTAGAAATATCATAAGATATCATCTCCATGTAGAATCAATAATTGAAATCCATAAAATTAAAATAACGGTTTTGTCTGCTACTTTCTTTCCACAACTCATTTTTATGTGAAATGCTTAACGTTAAATTAAAAGTTTGTTCAAGTGTTCTTGGTTAAATTGATTCAAATATTATTGGTGAAAACTAACTGAACGTTGTATCAATAAAATCGTTTTTTATGGCAAACCAACAGGAAAATAAGTAATGAGATTTATACAGTTTATATTTGTCATGAGTAATTTTTATTTTATTGCACAATTTCTTTGTCCAATGGATCACAACCACACATATAAGCGAATATTGTAAGCTTCTTCTTGCCATAAAGATTAAAATTGTTACAGCGAATTCCCATCGATTCAGTCAGATGTAAATGTTGAGATCGAACTTCATTGGGACAATGTAAAGATATGTGCTAGGATTTCATGAGTAAATTTTATTTTATTGAACAGTTTCCTGAACATATACTACCAATTACTTAAAAACCAGATCACAACACATATAGACGATCGATATTATTCCCATATTAAGTAATTCGGGGTATTCGATAAGAAATCGTGGGTTTATATTTTGTGTCAGCTGGTACTCGCCCGTAAAGCATACATCCAGGTCTTGAGAAAACTAGTAGCCCCTGTGGGATTTGAACCGACATCAAACTGCTTTAGTCTGAAATAATGCTGCTGGGCTATTCAAGCCTATTGCGTAGCCTGCTGTTGAATTGAGGTATTTATAGTGATTATTCACTGAGTAGTGATTGATGTAATGCTTGTTTAGCTTTCTGAAGGTTGGTCGGATTATATCGATCAGGTTTTAATGTAGCCATCAGTTTAAGTAACTCGATACTGAACGTACTACTTTTGATATTATTTATATATAACTGACACGATTCAAGGTGCGTTTAACAAGGTGAAGTTGTTTCGATATTCGAATGATGACAATAAAATATACTATTTTAGAGTAGCAATTTTTTGAGTTTTTAATCGGCTAAAGAAATCCATGTAAATGTGTTGATATTCAAAGTGACTGCAATTACTGAATCAGCAGTTACTCAATGAAATAAACAAGGAATATGATATATCACTGAATAATAAAAGAATTCGCTTACTTTTCCTGGCGTAAACTCATCACCCAACTTTGAACATGATGATAATGAATTATATAAACAAGGTTTATGAAGAGCATCTGGATCCCATACTACTAAGAGCTTCGTTGTTACAACCTGTTCGTACAGAATAGCTGAACCCAATGGTGTGAGTGTTGGATAAGCAAGGGAGGGGGAATTATTTGGGGTTAGATCTATACCAAATAAAGTATAATAGAAAATTACTAAACATAAGAAACAATACAAATTTATGAAACAGATCAATCACTATGTACGTAACAACACATGAAACCAAGCGAAGACCTTATAAAGGTCACAACCAGGAATAAAAGATTATACTTTGATTATGACTGGTTCTGCAGTGTAATTTTAATGCTTAGTTCAGCCAGAATAGGAAAAACTTCCTAATATATTGTTTCGCCGTTGATTTAAAAATTTATCGGCATATATCCTAATTAAATTATTTTAACCACTTTGAAGTTTTTATGCCAAACTAATATCGGTAGAGACAGAAATTGGAGCATATGTTATCAATCATGAATATATCTCAAATCTGAAACTGCTGTTCAAAATGTTTGGTTATTTGTTTCCTATTGACTTGTGTCATTATAATGCATTTTACTGTTTCTCTCTTTATGACTCTGTGTCGCATGTCGCGATAATTCGAGATGGTATACTTTCACTCCTGAAATTGTCTCATTTTATTTGTACTCAAAACGAGGTACAACCCAATAATTTGACGAATCAAACTTTAAAGGACTAATTAAGTAGACACAAACTGAATTATATTGCAAACAATAACATTTTCAATTAGGATATGTCTGTTTTTATCAGTACAGCTCTAAATGTCACTGAAAACAATTTTAACATTGTGTAAAAGACTTATACATAATACTTTTCTTAAACTATAAATGTTGCAGCTATCCGCAAAGATAATATGAATGATAAGGATTGAATATTTTATTAATCGAACAACATCATTATTAGATATACAGACTCACCATGTAAAAGAGATAAGATCCTAGAAAAATCTGTATCGACATCTGATTGTAAAGTTGTATCACAGTGATCTGTAAAGAATGATGTAGGTTGATTACAATAAATTCGTACAGCCCATTGCAACAGTCCTAGTATAAGTTCAGAATAACTAAAAGTAAGAAAATAAACAAACGGATTGATTGAAACTGACAAATCACTGAAATCCTAGGCTCTCACCGTCTCTCGGCAAACAGATTACAATGATTTATCACGGAGTGAGTGGAGGTAAGAATTTGGATCATTGAATTTCAACATAGTAGATTAAAGATAAGGCGCTAACAGCAAGGCCTGGAAGTTCTGGCCTCGATTCACAGTGAAGTTGTGGAACCACCCCGTAAGAAATCCTATTGCTAGGATGAAATAGCTATCAAGAGCTCCCTGCTTTTCAATGGTTCACTATCCAAAGATGTCCAAAACCATATCATAATTAAGTTGCTTTCGATTTACAAGATAACAACAAAAAATACAGAAGAATTTTGAATAATGATCTAGCTTCACAGACCAAATCGATCTAACAAATGAGTTAAGAGATTCAAGTGGTAATTAGATATGAACTATATTTAAGTTACCTATTGTTTTGCGCTCGAACAGTCATCTGTGCCTAATTTACCAAATCTACTAAATGATAATCTAAATATGTAAATTTTCATGTATATGTTAGAGTATACAGTGTTTTTAAATAAAAATTACTGACAAAAATAAAATTTTAATAAAAGGGTTGTTTCAATAGGTTCATCCCTAAGACTACACAAGGCTACATCAAAAATAACTACTGGGGTAAATACAGTTAATGTGAATATAACTGATCTAAAAAGCTAATATAAATAACAACTTGGACAAATATTATTAAGAATAACATATTTTTTCTAGCCCAAACACAATGACGGCAGTCTTTTTCAAATGAGACAAAAGACGATTCAATCACAGACCACCCACAACCTTCCATAAGGTCGTCATAATTCACAACAGTGTAGTCCAAGAAAAAAATCAAATGAAATGAAAGCAACAGTCGTATCAATGACATTAACAGTAAAATATAGAAAATTTAGTTAGAAAATTATAAATCCTATTAACGAACAAAAAGTTTTACGTAATATTAAACCTTTGGACTTAGAAAAAATAGTGAATACAGCCATGTCACTTATGTTTTTCACATATTACGATTGTACTGCGGCGACAACTAGAAAGTTTGGGTCTTCTAATATAGCCTAAAGAATATATCGATGAAACTATATCATTTTCGCTTGAAGGCAGCAGAATGACTCCGACCTGCTCCGATCCCAGTAAAAATTTCTTAGTGAGCCATAACGACCTAAGTAACTGACAACACATCCTTTAATCTGCAAAGGGTAGAAGACTTAGATATTTAGCGCCACGCCTTTCATTTGGTGTCATATATAAGATTCAGTCATATATTCCAAAAGCTTGATGATATAAGGATACTTCACATTTAAATAACGATATCTTTAAAACTATTTTACTGGTGCAAACACGATCTGTACTTTTCTTTAGATCTGAAACTTCTAATCAAATATTTTATACCCAGTCATTTTTCATTGTGCTTTTTCTCACTGTTAAATCTGTTTTTTTTAATACCAAACATTCACACCGATGCTCTTCAAGTATATGGTATACAAATAATTAGTGTTCAATAGTTTGAAATATGTTCAACAAGTTTTATGACTTATGGATTGAATACTACCATTCATGACCACGGCTTAAAGTTACGTATTTAGTCTATGATTTATTCACATATGATCTGCACACGTATGAACATATTTCTTCTTTTTTCAGTTATTACTATTTTCACTACATCTCACACCAATAACTTGTATTCACATTCGCACTTAAATAAGTCCCGAACTCAACAACTTAAACATGATTGGACAATGGTTTAACTGAACAGTTGTTTTGGTTTTGAATATTTCCCTAGAGATGCTCAGGACAGATTATTGCGAGAGATGTTGGAGTTATTTCAATTTCAATTTCTGAGAAGTTTACGAAAACAATTTCCTTTCAATATCTTCCATTAATTTTCAATTGAAATCTTTTAAAACTATTCTTTCAAACGTGGATAAGGTTCGCGTTATTCCATCTGATAGTATCGTATTCCGAGACAAAAAAGTGATTGATTAAACCTTTGAGCGTTGGAAGTCTTTTTACAGTCTTTGAAAGAGTAGTGGTGTTAGTCAGTTTAAGTGCTTTGTGAGCTGGTGTTCGTATGATTTTTAGTTTGTGTGATTGGTGTACTTTATTTATGTTGTGGATCACATGATTGTATGTGTCGTGTTACCCATCCTGCAGTCTTGTATATTTTTGATCTGATGGTGTTTTGGTCAGTCTGTGATCAAATTTTTGGGTGTCTATTCATTTCATTAAAGGTAGAAAATAGACAATTGCAGTTTTCGTTGAGGTATTTGTATATGAGCTTTCGTTTCTCAATTTGTGGTTTTGCTTTTTCATTCTGGTTAATTTTGACATTGCTTGGATTGTCTATTCAACTTGCTGGTAGTCTATCTTTCATTTCCTCTATAACAAAACTAAGTTACCTAAGCCAATTTCTTGTATGCACTTTTCAGTTACAGTTTGTATCTGCTACGTAACTTTTCAGATGCCTCACTATTAGATTATTCGATCTTTCGTCTCTGACCATCAAGCTTAAGCAGGGTGTACACTTCAGATATTGGCTTTTTAACTTCTAGAGTGCTAACGCTAAGAATCATCCACTTCAAATGTATCAAAAGGAAATAATACTAATGAAACTTCACTTCAAAATTAGTATATGTAATAACAAACCAAACAATTTGTATGTGATTACGTGAGACTTCCCAATATGAAAACTTCTAAATAACACATCAAAACTGATGATCTTCCACAAGTTTGATTAAACATATTAAGAAGACATAAATAAATGCGTTAAAGTCCAGAATTTATTCATTTTTTTAAAAGACAGATGATTGCACAAATATATTAGCTGTACTTTCTTCGGTTTTCCTTATCTTCAGTGATAATTATATAGAGAAACTTCCTAAGAGTTCAAATGTACAAATCCTAACATATTAGTGTTACGTGAATAAGTAATTAACATGGACGTTTTCCAAACACAAAAAATCTATTCCAAAACAAAACAACCTTGACAAAATGTAATCATGCAAAAACAACTTACCCCAAAGCAGCTGCACAACTTAAAAGAGAAATATCTATCTTCAATGAAGACATTTGTTCTTGTAATCGTTGAACATTGAACTCATCAAATTCATTTTCAGCTTCTAATAAGTAATTGACAGAACTTTGATTTGTTCTATCAATATTATTATTACCAATACTATCTGTTTTCTTCATCCATTCGACTAGTTGTAGAATTAAATACATTTCCAATTTATCTGCACATTGATCATGTCGTAGTGGTATATTCAACTGTACAAACATGTTTTGTTTTACAAAAAAAGAACCATTAAAGTGTTACATTGGGGTGAAGATGATAACACAGATAAATAAATAGTTTGGTGTCAGATGATTGAAGCTAATCGATAAGAAACTTTCAACCTACGTTCATGTGCTAATTAGTAATCACTACCATGGTGTTAGCAAAGGTAAGATGGTTGATGCTTCAAGAAGGATTAAAACCAGTAATCGCTAATGCTGTTGATCAGAGAGGTCACCAATAAGCCATTCGGATTAAAAATAGACTTTATGTACAAGTGAAATCTCACACTAACTGATCCATAAGTAATGACCGATATTATAGTGGTTTAGTCCTTACGAATGACAGAGGTCTGCTGGTCAAATTGCGCTGTGATCACTTATTAATACGGAAATTGCATACTTTAATAACAGAATTTATACTGTAAACATATATAATGCACCTTTGTATGATAATAACAGGCGACCGCAATTCTAGCACAAAGACTTTTGTACAAAAAAGGATTGAATTAAAGGTGATATTAAAATAGTTCAACGGTTATACATGTAATGTTGTGTGTTAAAATATCTTTTAATCAATTAGATAATTTGATAAGATGGATGTATGAAAAGTCAGTCAGTCAGTCAGCTACAACGAAGGACCAGGCACATATGTGCATCGGTCGAGGTTGCCATTACCTCATTAGCACAGCAACACACATACAAAACGATAGATACACTGAATGGTAAGTTTAAACTGATGGTAACAAAGTGAACGATATGCAAATTGATACATTAAAAAATAATTCTTGGAATATTTTCAATAACCAAGTTAACTGTAATTACATATAAATCAGTCAACAAAAGAGGGACTACATAATAAATATACTTCGCAGATAAAATTTATGGAGATTATAGTCTTTTTGGGCGATTAACAGAAAAAAACTAAACCAATGTCATAATATTACCTAGAAGTATACAAACCGGGAGATAGTTATTCAAAACTTTCAATAAAACAATCTCAAAGAGAGACAATGAAATATAAGTTCTTCTAATGGAATAAAGCGAACCGAACCAAAAAGACTTAACATACTAGTAAAGGCTAATTCAGCCAAGCGATTAGGTTAAAAACACATAGCTACAATTTCTAGTGACTTTGAATTAATATGGTAATAGTTAACTAATCAAAATATATACAACCAACATTATTGATTTCAAAAGCGGTTATTATTTTTTTTAAAGTTATAAAATACACCATTACGCTATTAGAGGATCCAAATTTCGCTGATTAAAAATCCATATTTCCGAAAAAAAATTAATATTTTACAAAGTTGTAGGTACGTTCTATAAAATAAATTTCGAAAAATACAAATTCAAGATCTTGATTCTGCCCCAAATACGATCGAGGGTGAGAAGATACAACTCTCCCTCTCGAAATGCTCTCACGTGAACACACATATTCAGCCACTACCAGGGAAGACCTACTCACTCACTCAATCAATCACTGCCTTCTTGTGAACAGGGTAATGTTTACAAAATTGAGAGGATGAAAAGCGAATTTCTAATGCTTTAACCAGGTTGGTGGATATGGAAGATCCACCTAGGCGAGTTGGAAAACTCTGATTTCAAACCAATGGTGAACATGCGCTCCAGGATCCTGAGGAAACGAAAGGCGTTCTAACCAATTGTTTGCCACCGACTACCGTGAGACTGCATCTCCTTACGTTGCTCCACTGCCTTGTGCATGAGAAATTTAGGTCGAAAGCTCCGGTTGTGGTCCCGTAAGGAAACCAGCTCTAGGTTTGGGCACCCGAGCAGTATCACAGCCCACACACACACACAGAAATCAAGTGACTTGTGTGACGCATATGTATTCAGTGTCCCTTTGTACCAGTGTTTATGTGTTTAAATAAATGAGCATAAGATCTTGAACAATTAGTCACTTGTCATAGAATAGTGAATACGAAAAGATAAACCTTATTAACTTAATATTATATTTCTTTGATCATCTAAATTATTTAATTGGTATGAAATAGTTCCCAAAAATTAAGAAAAATTATTCCATTGTTATCAATTACATTATTTTTTTAATTTATTTAAATATCAATTAACTAACCTTGGGATATTCATCAAAGTTACTTGTTAAATAATTTGTAAGCACTGAATTCGAAACATTGTCAGAATGTATATCATCCACAGGTTTCGACGTAATTGATGTATTATTATAATTAGATTCATCAAATGACTTGCTAAATATTCTAGATCTATGATTTGGTAATAAAATGAATTCATCTTCAATGTCAATGGATAAATGAATACCCGGTGCTAATGAACTAAAGCGAATAAACACTATCCAACGTAATAGATCATCTGGGCAATAAAATGGAAAAATAAAAACAAATAAAAATTGATAAACCAGTCTCCTATAAAATAAAATCAGTAATCGTAATTTTATGAATGGTTATGCAGAGAATAATTATTGCTTTTCTTCAGTGAGTAACTGCTTCACACCAAACACAGTTGAACTCCACGGGACATAGCTTCTCACTAGAACTCCAAGAAAATCCATCTTGAAGCTATTATTACTTTGTCAAAAAGATGCAACAGTTGTTATTTGGTAACTACTGGGAACTGTTTTAACGTAACTGAGTCAAGAATAGTAAGACCAGTGTCAATGAGATAGTTTGTCAACTAGTAATCTATGAAGGTATCTGGAACATTGGATTGAACAGTTTGAGAATCAAATTAAGTAGATTGTTTCACAACAGATTAATCCGTTCATTTCTTCAAACCTTATAACTACTGGTCTACTTAGCAAACTGAAAGTTTGGAAGAAATCCAGAACGCGCGTTCCATCCTATTTGGGACGTGTCAGCTGGATGTATCGGCTATCTGAATTTAGTAGCTAGGCGCACAATGAGATGGCGTCTGAAGTGAACATTACTGGGTTCAAGTCTCAGAGTAGACATCAACTCTGGGATGCAGGCACACCCAGCTGACGAGTCCCAAATAGGACGAGAAGCGCGTCTTGAATTTCATTGTTGGCCATCATCCATCTTTCCCTACAAAGAGATGGCTGTTCTTTTATAAGCAGCACTGAATGAAAATCAACATAAAAAGTAGTTACTAACCTGAGAGCTTTAATTTGAGCAAATTTATATTATTGCACCGACCAAAACTGTACTCTGAGTATCCTCCATCAGATGTGAATGGATTACAAGCAGCATCATTTTCCTGGCAATTGAACTGTGCGATTTCAAAACTCTAAAATAAAACAATGAGTAAAGATATAATAATATATAATAAAATCGTTTACTGTTATACAGCCAAATTGTAGTGATTAGAAAGACAAGATAACTTATAGCCACTTCTTGAAAATCCATTGAAAAAAAAAGAATGTAAACCTGGAGAATTAATTATTGAACTAGGAATTAGTGAACAGTTATTCTATTTTAGTTTGAGACTTTATTTCATGAAATCAAGTGAATAGGACATTGGATAAAGGGATATATTATATAACAAACAGATTACAGTTTAAAATGAAGATTATTGTCTTAAAAGGAAGGTATTTGACAAGTATTAAAAGTTATAAATTGCTTACAATTTTAAAACCAGGTTGAAATGGATAGGTAGTAATTTCTTGTTTTCAATGCTCCTCTTTAGGAAATTATTGGTACTTGGTGGAAATTATCATTAAATTATCAGAAATCTCAATAAAACAAATGCATTTAGTCATATTTTACTAAGATATTCAATAGATATTCTAAAGTAGTTTTGTTAAGGTGTCCTTTTGTAGTCATTATCACACGTTTTATTTTGACTCATGTACTGTTGTGTATTTCGACGTTCGAATATATGAGAATAAGTCTTTTCAAATTAAATTTTGCTCATTAAACAGAACATGTGACTTTGATCGTTTAGTGTTCATTCATGGATAAGATGAGCAGATTTGTCTTATGAGAATATTGACTAAGTGTCGTTGATTAAACTATAAGTAATATGAACATATTTCTAGATTATGAAATGAGAATTAACTAGTTACTAAGCCAGTGTAAACAACTTTATTGTACATTTAACACTGAACTCATACATGAAATTCAAACTGTTTCACTGATATTGTTGTTACTCATTGAAGTGAATCAAACTAACACTAATATATCCAGTAATGGTAATAGTGGTAGTAATACATCTCACCGATTAGATGGTACTAACCTATTTACCAGTACATCATTTAAATACTTTGAGAATAGGTTGTAGCGATACGAGACGGTCTATTTCACATTAGATTGTTTTAACAAACTAACTTGAACGAGGTTGATGTCCAGTGCTACTTAACTTTTATTAGTCAGTTTGTAATGGAAAACAATCTTTAAAATACTGATAAAATAGATCAAATAAATATAATTTCAACAAAGCTATAATTCATATTAAGGCATCGGTTCATAGTGTTCTTATACCAAGAAAACACTAATATCAATCCACCTTTAAAAATGCAAACAACTTTGAACTAATAATTTCTAAATAAAAGATCAAAATAAAATGTCACTGACATTACGTATGTACCATGAAAAGAATAAACACAAATATTTATTAATTTACTGGATAAACTGAATAATTCAGTAAACAATGAAAAACATCAGTTTTGGTGCATGAAATTAGAAATGATTAGTAGGTTATAGTATGTATGTGAGTATGTTTGGAAGAGAGATAGAGAGACGTGAAAAGACAACATGCTAGCACGTACACATACACGCAAGTAAGATTATATAGAGAAAAGAGCATTTATGAAAACTGATTACGAGAATAAAAGGTTTAGGGAAGAATGACGATCAACTCTGGGACGAGTGTACATCCAGCTGACGAGTCCCGAATAGGACGAAACGCGCGTCCTAGATTCCACTGCTAACCACCATCCATCTCTGCCTATAATGATTGTGACTTAAGGTAATATCGAGGCAATCCGCTCAGAATGCAAATATGCTAATAAGAGACAAATCAATTGCAGTCCTAAACATCAATGGGAAGATTCAAATGGCCAACACAAGGTGAAGAATGATAATCATTTAAAAACTTACCAAACAAAAAGAAACGACGAGAAACTTAAGTGTAAAAACGAGTAGGATACAAAATATTTTAGAAAAATGCTGTGTATTAGAGGGCAGTTTCTGTTTAGGTGCAGAAATCTATGAACCATAAGCTTCTGTCTCTCTGATATGATCAACGAAATTGAACGACATAGATTGACTGAAGTTGGAAATGTAGATCGCTGTATAAAACTTACAGTAGTTATTATCAGAGGGTCTGATCTTCACGGGTACAGTTATGTGTGAAATCAAGTCTTTTCATTGATGACAGGCTTTAGATTGTAACGCATTGACAACCTAGTTTTCAGTGATTTTTGCATCTATCATTATCAACCAGAAGTCATAACAATATACCTGAAACATTCCAGATTTCTTCTTTAGGTTGGAAATCAGTTAGTTAAAACTGGCAAATTCACACAAACAAGCATAGAAATTATCAGGAAGATAGAGATGGTTATTTTTTTCACAATAGAGGAATTTTCTGTCTTATGCATATTTGATTAAAAAATGATGTCTACTTAATCATTATTATGATAAACGTATAGGAAACAAAAAGATTATTTTTTTGCCGAATACATTTTGATGTAATATTCAATACCTATACGAAAAGGTATACATAAATATGAATTTGTATTTTATGAATAACGATAGTTTACATATGTTACAACAAGAATAAAATTTGGGAATACTGAATAAATACAAAATATAATAGAACCTTTCGGCGTTATATATATATATATATATATATATATATATATATATATATATAACAGTTTATTCTGTTACACATTTCGGTAAAATCAAGTCGTCATACAAAAGCGAAAAGCTAAAAGTGTTTTATTGACTGAAAGGGATAAAATATATTACGTTTTTTTCGTGTAAAAATCTGTTAAACAATTTGTTCTATGATCGTAAGAATATTTAATCTGCTATCGGTGGATTGAAACTAAAATAACAAATAGCTCTGACGAAGGTATATTTTGGAAAGGAGTAACGACCTCATAGTTAAGACAACTAACTTTCAATTAGTAGATCACAGGTTCAAATCCCCCTTAGCCTATTTCGATTTGAAAAATCGATTAGTATTATTAGTCCGCGTACAACTTAAGTGGCTTATATACACTTGTACTTGATAAATAAATAAATTATTAATATTTTGGGGAATGTTAGTCACAGCTCTGCTGGTTTATTCAATCTATTCAGAATAAGAATTTAATTATTAAAATACAGAAAATAGAATATTATATAATATTTCAACTCCGTCTGGAGTCCTTCTGGGGCTACTACCGATCCCAAGCCCAGATAAAAGAGGAGGGTTGGACATGAGGTTAGCCAACCCATTCTGTAGAAAACTAACTCAACAAAAAATAAAACGCTAATCAGAAAAATTTCAACAGTAGTTGTGTTTTAATTTTATTTAAATCATTCATAATAACAATCTCATTTCATGAACCTTCTATATTATTTAAATAATTAAAAAGTTCTCTTCCAATAAAACTAATGATTAGTATGTGATCTTAATTTTTATATTTGTATAATTATGTAATTTAATAAATCAATCAAAAGTTTAACTAACTTTGATCAATATATATTTTAGATAGATATAAATAATAAATATTATTATATACAATCTACATTCATTAGTAATTTTATATTTAAAAAAAAATTCGGATTAATGAACAAACTTGAAATTTAATTCATTGAAACATTTTAATTCTGTTGTCACAAAAGAAAACATCATTCAATTTATTTGATTATTTGTAAATAATACTCAGATATTCAAATGTTTAATAAGTTTTAATTTAAAGTTTAAAAATATTCGTAGGTTCACAAAAATTACAAACAAGATTAACAAAACCATTATGTTTGTCATTAATAATAATGGAATAATAGAATCATGAATGAATATTAATTCAATGACTGTATTAAAATAGGAACCTAGTTGAATAATTATCAAAAGATGTTGTGTGCTAGGTTCAAAGAGAATTGTATGTTATATGCATGCAAATCCGCCCAGTTATTGTTTTTATTTCAAAGCCCCCAAATGCCCTAGGTACGGCCGAGAGTAGGGAGAGTTCGCTCTCCCTCTCGAAATACTCTCACACGGCCATGCGTATATAGCCTCTACCAGGGAAGTCCTACTCACTGCCTTCTCGTGGCATTACTGTTGTTTACGAAAATGAGAGGACGAAAAGCGAATGTCCGGAGCTTTAACCAAATTCCAAACCAATGGTGCACATGGGCTCCAGTATCCTGCGGGAACAAATGGCGAATGAATCAATTGTTAGTCACTGGCTTCGATGGGACTGCATCTCCTTACGATGCTCCACTGCCTTGTGGATCAGACCTTCAGGTCGATGGCTCGGAGAGTGACCCCCTAAGAAAACCACCTGCTTCGGTTTAGGTACCCCGGGCAGTATCACAGCTCTCACACATATCGAATGAGATTTCTGTGGCGCATATGTATTTGGTGCCTCTTTGTACCATTATATATGTTTTAAAATAATAAAAATGATAATCAAAAGATGAAACTGATAAATATCAACTTATTTAATTGAATCAAGTACTTAAATTAATAAACATGTATAGATTTAAAAATAATAGGAGCATGTTGTATTCATGCTGGTGAGTTATATCAACAAATGATTGTAGTATTGTCCATGTTTTAAAATTAATGATAGTTAAATAAAAGAGCCGCAGCCTAATGATGATTAGGGCGCTTTACTGTTGACTACTAGTTAGTATATTGTAATTCCAGTTTTCTCTAAATTAGCGGTATTATAAGCCCATAGAAGAAAAGCATGAATTGAGGTCAAATGAGAAAATCTGTGTTTATTTTTATTTTTTATTTATTTGAACACATAAACACTGGTACAAAGGGACACTGAATACATATGCGTCACACAAGTCACTTGATTTGTGTGTGTGTGTGGGCTGTGATACTGCTCGGGTGTCCAATCCTAGAGCTGGTTTCTTTATGGGACCACAACCGGAGCTTTCGACCTAAATTTCTCATGCACAAGGCAGTGGAGCAACGTAAGGAGATGCAGTCTCACGGTAGTCGGTGGCAAACAATTGGTTAGAACGCCTTTCGTTTCCTCAGGATCCTGGAGCGCATGTTCACCATTGGTTTGAAATCAGAGTTTTTCAACTCACCTAGGTGGATCTTCCATATCCACCAACCTGTTTAAAGCATTGGAAATTCGCTTTTCATCCTCTCAATTTTGTAAACAACAACCTGTTCACAAGAAGGCAGTGATTGATTGAGTGAGTGAGTAGGTCTTCCCTGGTAGTGGCTGTATATGTGTGAGAGCATTTCGAGAGGGAGAGTTGACTTTCCGATCCTCGGCCGTACCAAAACATTAAATAACAAAGACTATCCACTTTGCCTTGGTCCGCACTCTTACTTGGAAAACATTATAAAACAATCATGAAAAACCCGGAATATCAGGCAAAAAAAGCATTTCAGTGGGTTTTAATAACGAACAAGAACAGTAATATCAACAATGAAGACTTAGTACTCAAAGATCAAAGTTGAACAAAAATAGGCGTAAGAAATTGTTAGTGATCCTTTCTTAGTGAATTTCATGTCAGCCAACGAATTGATAATAAAATTTATATTAACCTTAAGAATGAAAATATCATTATTTTGAGTTCAATAGTTACTTAATGAAGCAAAATGTATGGTGCTCTTAAAATTATATTAAGAAAAATTAGCAAACAACATTTTAGAACATGAATACACTAGTATATCAAGTAATTGATTAAACCACCAGATAAGCCATACATAAGTTAGCATGAAAACTTAGTGCAAGATAAAATATTTGCTTTGTCACTTACTTCGTTTCTTTCAGGTTCATACACATTTGTTGTCAGAAGTAAACGATGATTGGGTGAGTAGATACTAAATCGTGAAATGAAGAAAAACCAAGAAAAAGGAATAAGGGATCTTAAATGTATACTTAAAAATTTCGATTAATATAAGAAGGAAGATAAATACGTTTGTAGTAGCAACGATCTCTTTTTAAGACCGGTAGTACAGTTGCATCCCTGTTTTATCAATTTATGTCAATCGATGATTCTATGTTGCAAGATATGACGTCGGTTGGAACAGGATGGATTGAATAGATATTTCTTACTAGTTTGTAACTTGGTGGGAGCTTCAAGATCTTAGCGCTAAACATTTGAAAAGCTAATTTTTTAAGCATTAGACCGTCTCGAACTCAAACGAAGAACAATCCAAGTACAGTGAGATTTGCAAAGGTTATTGGACTAATGTCATTTTATAAATGGAAACTATCTTATGAGTAATTTATATCGCCAAAAACACCAACGTATGTGACAGGGATAGTAGTAATTCATAATTGCCGCTGGTGGTGCATTGCGTGATGTTTGGGATGTGAACCATTTGATTTCCAGACACAGTGGTTTAAAGTCAACGTGGAAGTTATGGTACAAGATGTTGAATTCGATCCCTTAAGGCTATATTTTCATGAATATGTACAACAAATAAGTCCCAAAATAGAATGAAACAATCCCCCATTGCTCCTTGGGTTTTTAATAGCTCACCAGTGTTCACGTAAATACTCAGAATCCTAAGACACAAACATAACCAATACGACTCACTCATAGAACAAGATTCACATCTATTTATTAGAATAGAAAATGAAACAAAGGATTCTAATTAAACTATCCAACTTATTTAATTCAATAATTCATTATTGTTAAAGTACACAAAAAAGACAACAACAAAAATCAAGTTACTTACTTCTTACAAGTTTCAATATTCAAATTACCATCAATTTCACTGATAGGATTATTGAAGCGATTGTTATTTATCTCTTCTTTATCGATATTAACATGATTAATATGTACAGCATATCTACCATTATTAGTTATTGTATGAACATTGAAATTACTAGACGACAACTCACTAGAAACATGTTCTTTTGAAAAAAATTTATGATTAGATTGATGTTGTTCTGTTACACAGCACCAATCATTACAGTCATTATTGATTATTTCACTAGTGGGTTTTATTGCAGTTGTTGAGGTTGTTATCTGTGTAAAATCATTTCCAAGTAGATTATTATCAGTAATTAATTCATTTGATAAAAGTCCTAAATCTTCATCAGTATAAGTTGAGATAAATGGTGAAGGTGTTGACGTTGATGTGATGATTAAATCAGTGAAATTTATTAATTCATCAGAATAACCGATTTCAATGGGTGTTATACTAGTTGGATCTTCTACTACTACTACTTCTTCTTCTTCATTAGTATGAAAATAATCATTATTACTATTATTAGCATTAGTAGTAGAAGTAGTAGTGATGTTATCATTGGAATGTGGGCTACCATCAGTATTAACATACTGATGATTATGATTAACAACATCATTGACATTTTGATGATCAGGACTATCATTTGACTCGATGCTTTTTGTTGTGTTAAAATTTTCAAAGTTATTCATTGTTAATGATAATGAATAGGGATAATCATTAGCCCAATTAATTACAACATCGGATAGTAAATTATTAGATTCTACACTATTATATTATTATTATCATTAGGAAACAATAATTGGTTCACAGTAGAACTTGCCTCTACTTCACTGTCTGGATTGTTATCATTACTTTTTGAGTTAATATTATTGTTATTATCATACTTAGACTGTTGTTTAAAAAAAAAGAAAAGATGGTAAATAATTAAAAATGACAATATATATTTATATATATCCTTAAAACAGAACAATCTGATTATACAATAATAATAATAATAATAATAATAATAATAATAATAAAGAGGAAGAATGTATTTGATTATATTTTCCTCGAGAAAGCTTGGACCAGTTTGCCAGGCGAAACGTTGGATTTACTTCAAATTCTTTCGTTGAGATTTTACAAATACATTCTTCCCATTTAGTGACTCACATTAACTCGGCGCCCAAGTATTATGAAACCATTCGTTCAAATTTAGACGGGAGTTCTTATTTAATAATAATAATAATAATAATAATATATGTATAGACAAATTAATTATTTACCAAATATTACACTGTAAGATAATAACTGATCATAATTTACGGGAAAGGAATAAAAATAAAACAATTCTATGTATGAACAGTATGTTAATGTCAAATATGATGCAATTGTGTTTTTTTAAATGAGAAAACGGAAACTTACAGTTTCATTGTTTTGACAATATCTATTTATTGGTTTTGAAGAGGAGAATACGAATGGAATGGAATCATTATTATTTTCATTATTATTGTTATTAATTATATCTGATAACAAGAAATACAATAAAAAAACAAGAAAAAAAAAAGAAAGAAAGGAAAAAAGACAAATGCTTTATTTAAGAAAAAAGTTATTATATCAAATTAACTTTTGAAAATCATGTCTAGTGTTTTTTTTTGAAAGTATCTCCTTTTCTCATTAGACATATAAAATCTCATCAACATAGAAATGAATGTATCGATAGAAAAGTATGCCACATTTAAATTATAAGATTAATGTTATTCAATTAGTCAATAGTATAATATCACTCATATTAGGTTTTTAATCATAAATATTCAATGACAGGTAAGTAGACAAACGATCCAATGACTGAGATAATACAGTAGATGGAAGAGAGAGAGAGAGAGATGATCAAGCAATTTAAACATTTTGATTAAGACTATTAAGTGACAAGTTAGAATTCCCTATATATATACGTTAACTGGACAAAATCACTAAGCAAAATTGCACCTTTAGGTTAAATCAATCAATAAGTGCTTGATTAAGGTGGTGTATTGTACCAATGTTATAGATCATTATTGATTATTGGGACCCTATGAATAATCTCATTTTAACTCACTCGATACACGAGCAACTATCCAAAGATATACGTAATCAAATACTAGTAAAACACTTTCATAGTAATCAAGCAAACAGTGAGGATAAACGCGCAGTATACTCGCCTTTGATAAACAGACGGACATCTATCCTAGACCATATACTGAACAAGTCGCAAAAAGTCGAATGGGCTTTCTCTTTGTGCTAAGACTGTTAGCTATTTCTTCCAATTTAGCCGATCAGACTTTAAAGATAAATGAAGTGGTCAACACACTTGATTACTTAACTCCCTGTATTCAAATAAGGCATTGATTCAAACCAGTCCTAAAATAACTTTACATTTAGGGAGATTAAAACACATCTCAATTGTCATTGTACATTTACTCGAAGTGTTCAAAAGATTCGAAGTTAGTTGTATGACGAAATTAAATAGCAATGTAGAAAATGAGCAGCCGTGATTGTTACCAAATCATGCAACCAAACACACACACACACAACCAATTTATCCAGATCCACTAGATGGATAATTCAATCTTTCAAATACATTTAACACTTATCAGAATGGGTTTTGTGGACAATTTAAGAAATTTCACAGGAGTCCCGTACCAGGACGAAACGGCTGTCCAGTGCTTCCAGGTTTTCAATGGTGGTCTAGCTTCAACTGACTCATGATTTAAACCTGTGAAATTTCTTAAATTCTCCACAAAACCCATTCTGATAATAATAATCAACTGCTCACTAGTGACTGACTTCAAGAAAAACTCCTGGAGTTTTGGTGAGAAGCCGTTACCAGTGGAGTTCAACCAGGTCTGTTGTGAGATAACAACTCACTGAAGACAATGGTGTACGGTGGCGCAACTTCGTGGATTGGTTGAAGTTGGAAATTAACACCGTTGGATGCCGGCTCAGTGGTCTAATGGTTAAGTGCTCGCGCGCGAAGCCAGTAGGTCCTGGGTTCGAGCCCCGCATGGTGCGGGATCGTGGATGCGCACTGCTGAGGAGTCCCATACCAGGACGAAACGGCCGTCCAGTGCTTGCAGGTTTTTCATGGTAGTCTAGCTTCAACTGACTCATGATTTAAACCTGTGACATTTAACACTCTTATGCCAGATAGAAATGCTTTACATAAGAGTATGCTTAAACCTGTTTAACTAACTAATTTAATTCCCTCCCCCTTAAAAATAACCTTCCATTATAATCATTCTTTATCTTGAAAAGTTACATTAGAATCGCAAAGATTTACCTTATTTATTTCTATTTTTAACCGCTAATTTTAACTTCAATAATTAACTAACTATAAAGTGAATTATTTCATCATTTTAAATAGGATGATACACATTATGCTGATTACATATCCAGATTAGAAACAATTCCATATTTTTTGCCTTTAAATATAAACATTTTCACTGAATAGGCAACGATGGAACAAAAGTGGAGAATAAAAATTAAAACTGGTTAGAAGACAAAAAAAAACAGTAAAAATATAATCAACATGTACACAATGAGCATAATAAAGGATTATTAAATGAATATTATTCATTAATTATTTCTCATTGATTTTCATTATTAAAATGATCCGTTTATATTATCTAATCAATGGTAATCATAATCAAAAACAAAATGAAAATTAATGAATAAAAATTTTTTTTTAATCAAAATTTGGGATGGATAAAATCCAAACTAAAATATTCAACGATTTGATTTAATGTAAAATCATTAATTAAGTACTAATTTCTGTAATTGACTAATAATGCTAACAGATCATTTCGGTTGAATTAGATAAACTAGTATTTAAATATGAAACCTATTCAATAAAATAACTAAAAAGTACATAAAATTCAATAAAATTCCAGTCAGAAACAATGTAGTACAAGGTACTGTTGTGTGTGTTGTCTTGTTTGAGTTTCACATCAAACAAGAAAAGTAGATCATAAATCAATCTAAGTTAGACCACCATTAAAAACCTGGAAGTACTGGACGGATGTTTCATCCTAGTGTGGGACTCCTCAACAGTGTGAATCCACACCGCCACAAGCAGGAATCCAACTCAAGTCCTTCAATCATCTGTGAATAGAAATTTTCGGAGGTCTAATGAGAAGCCGTGATCAATAGAGCTACACCGTGTCGAGTGTAGAGACAGTTACTCACCATCGAAGATGGTCGGACAATGTCTTGGACTGATTAAAGTTAGACATTAACACCGTTGAGTGTCGGTTCAGGGGTTTAGAGGTTTAACGTTCGCGCGCGAGACTGAAAGTCTTGAGTTTGACTCCCGTGTGTGGAAGCATGGATTCACACTGCTGAGTCCTATGCTAAGACAAATCGGCGGCCCAGTGCTTCGAGGTTTTCAACGGTGGTCTAACTTAGATCAGTTCAGGATTCCAGTGAGATTCAACAATCCCCATAACCTCATACTAACGAAAATGGAGTTAATGACAGTAATTATTAATGATAGTGATAACTTTAAAGTATTTTAAAGATATGGAGTTACATTGAGTAAAACAGATATCAAGTATTAACAGTGATATATAGATTGAAAAAGGATGTGTATCAAGTTAACAATTCTATAATTGTGAGAAAAATTGAAGTTAAATGATAATTGTCTGATAGAACACTATTTATTAAGAAATCTCTTCAGTGTAACTACGAATTACCTACCTGAAAACTGATATCCACGAATATTTCGCGTATGAGGGTTTGTTCGACAAGACTTGTTATTCGAAAAGACTAATTCCAAATTTGTCTGATAATTATCATTTAATTTGGGTGTGATAAGGAGAAATACAGCTGTGTGCGGATGATGATGATGATTTATATCAGACTGTAGTGAAGACAAACTCTTCACAACATTGCTACTTGTTATGTTTCTATATGGATTATCAGATAGAAATGATAATGACGATGATGGAGAGGAATTCGGATTCATTGATGAATTCCAAATATGATCACTCAGAATCTGAATTAAATTAGAGAAATTTAACTGGAAAAGAAAACAAAAAGATAAAGCCTATTAACTATAAAGACATTTTTACCCTGAAAAATATTGATATTAGAATAATGAATATAAAACTAGGTTTGTAAAAATTTCAGCCAAAATGAAATTAAACAATTCCAACTATTCACCAAACAGTTTGATTCGAACTTTTATGATTATTTTCATGATGATGATGATCATCATTGATTGAAAGAAAGCCCCAAAAAATCATAAAATCTAGTTTATAAGGAATAATATCTTACAAAAGTGATTTATACCCTCTTTAAAATGTTTCTAATATAATTTATTTTGTGATGTTTAAACTTTGTATACAACGATAATCTTATATTATCAATATCATGTATAAGATGTAGTATATATATATGATAAACAAATACTTGGATTCTAGCAAAATTTTCATTTGTACCAATTTCACCATATATTAACTGTAGTCATTGTTTTTACTTCGTGATATAATAAGTCGCCATTTACAGAGGTAGAAGATTTACAATTTACTTTAATTTATATACACCATAGTGCAAGAACATGATACATCACCAACAGATAGAGAACAACATAAAATGTAAAACACATGTGTGCACACAATAGAAACAGAATGATAAACTTGGACTTCAATAAAAGGCTTAGCACGCATGATATTTTTGTCTAATATTAATAATAATAACAATGATAATAATAATAATAAGAAGAAGAACAAGAACAAGAAGGACTATGTTAATTATATTTTCGAAGAAGTTCAACTTATTGTTATTTAAAATGTAAAGTAATATCATTTTACAATCTTTTATCAACCAAATGCATGTTTAAAAAACAAATACCATTTTACGTTGAACAAGATATTAAATTGTTCAACACGACGGGCAGGAAAAACTACGGAAAAAATTAAGCCCATTTTTTCTGAAAAATAACTATACGTTTACTGAATAAATAAACAACATTTACCAGCTACAAGTAAAGGATTTCACTGATTACTTGATTATGTTAGTAGAATGAATTATCGAGTGATTGATATGTTATGATTTTTCTTATTACGACCCAGCTACTCTTATTGCTTGGTATTCGTGGACAATACTTCGCTTGACAATTCCCCAAATCAGAACATTATGTGAAAGCATATAAGAATAACAGTAGAGTTACGACCAATTGGAAGAGTTGATATCAAGGCCACTACCTTAATTTAATGCTTGAATACTGTAATGAATTGGTTAAATCCAACTCAAATCAATGTAATAACTAGGCATAAATATTGTATCAATATAAACTGGTCACATCAAGGGAATCAACTCAAATACCTGATCACGTAAATAGAAACATGGAATGATATTTATCGAAGAGAGAAAGTTTGAACTCAAAATTAGGAAGTTAAAAATTACATATTAAATACATTTATTCACGATTGATTATAACAAGAGAAAATTGAAGGGAGTATTAGGTAGTCTAAAATATGAAATTGATAGATATCCAAAGCACGTAACAGAACAAACACGCAGTTGGGTTTAGAACGGCTTATCATAAGAGAAAAGAAAGACAACATCAACAGAAACTGAGATGAAAGATGAATGTATCTTTAAAAGTGTAATCGGGTTCGAACTATATTTATGAACTATATCTATAATCATCGATAGTTTTCATAACGAGAAACCCTACACGGAAAGTCATTGTTTTATCCCACAATCTAAATCAATGGTCAGTAATTTTAGGGTTTCGTAAAATACAACTAAGTCAACTCATAATAGGTTCATCTCCTAACCGACTAACTTACTCTTGTCTACATCACCACTACCGTTAACATCCTTCATTCAATGAGTTCAATACGTCCGAGCAGTGCTTAGAAGATAACTACGATTGAATACCCGTCTTAACTATTTTCCATTTTCATATACCAAGTCTCATGGCCTAAAATAAGGATAGAAACATTGACATAACAGAGTACTAAAATTGGGCACGCGTTTAAATTTTATCAGTTTATTTTGTGTTATATTGACTACGATTACAAACAAATATTTTTGACAATCATACTTGACCCAGTCAATAAAAGTGACTACTTGTATGAACCAAACCAGTAGTCGATAGCCTCCATGGAATAATATCACTTCTGCATTACAAGAGAACTACTTATTTACATTTGTTACAACTTATATCATTTCTGTCCAGGTAGACATTTTAAAATCATAGACAATGGGCTGGTCTTACCAATCTTAATCAAAAATGACATTTTGTATAATCAAAAATCTGTTTAATCAGAGACTAAATTGTACATCGCTAACTCGGTGGTAAAATACAAGCTACATACGCTGAATCATTGTAAACTTTCTACGTTACATTGACGTTTTTCATGTTATGACAGTGTACGACATAGTACTTTGTCGTAAATACGACAGCTTGAAGAGAATGTGAAGTAGATGCACACACACACACACGGATAAACGAACATAACAAATTAAGCGAGCTAATTAGTCCAGATCAATTAGCAACCAGCTTATTATACCAAGTACAATTAAACTGTATTTTGCCATTCAAAATAATATCAGTACATTCAGCACATACATGATTAAACGATTTGTAACAAATGATAAATTGAAACAACTGAAATATCCTAATAATTACTAAGTGTCCATGCTAAATAAATGAGCATTGCGATAGTATGCTCATTTATAATCTCAAAATAGTTACAATGACATTTAAACCTTTTCTATAATAACAAACAGCTAAATTATTATTAAAAACATGTAGTGGGCAATGCTAGAAATGCGTTGGTAACCAACTTTGAAGTAGTATGCCAATCGGAATATTAGTTAAATGAATCCATGTTACAAAGTGATCAGATAAAGACATGAAATCAATCTCTTGAATTTGTAACAGTTTATTTGAATAGTGTGGGATCGTTAAAACGGTGAAAATCGGTGAACGGATGAATGGATGGATGCTGAGTGGTGTGTGGTTTGAATTTGTTTACAGTGAGACAGGTATTAGATTTAATTATCATTTTGCTAAAAAAAATAATAGCTACCTTACTGTCCTAAGATACTCCTTTACGAGCTTATTACGTCGATCAATATAATTGACAGGTTTAGATTAAACGAAAAGAGAATATATTGTCAGTTCAATTCACTAAGTTATCTTAGGGAAAAACAGAACGGAAAAGATTCAAATGAAATCGATTAAATTAGTTTCTTTAAAACTATTATATTAACTTCACCGCTAAATATACAAAATAAAATATTGAACTCTATTAAAAACAGTTACTTCTTACAGAAAAAACTGAATAAATAGATTAGGTTATGTAAACATTGAAGCGACTGATTTACGAAGTACATGGATTTATATACTCGGTTGTGAGCCACATTACAGGTATGAAGACATTCGAGATTAACCGGTTACCCGAATCGAAGTAAAGCAAAGTTTTAGCCAGTAGCCTAAAGTTTGGAATTGGACTGATCAAATCACTAACTTTAAAACATGTATTTTTATTGTCTTATTCAACCAACTGTCATCTTCCTAGTATGGAACTCCTTGGCAACATACACACTCTTGCTATAACAGTAACTGTCAATTTTACATTAAATGATCGTAGTGTCATATTGCGAATCAACTAAAGATGGAAATATGTAATATTTGAACCAAAACCAACAGTCCGAATGATAAACACTCCCCAAGGTACCTTAACTTTATAGGATCAACCTCCAGCAGGGTTATGGGTGGGCACTGGTGAGAAATTCCATACCAAGAAAAATTATCTGTCTAGTTTTCCCTCGTTATCAATGATAATCCAGCTGAAAAATTCGTGAAGATACACCACTGACAGATTCGAACAATTCCCACAAAACCACTTCATATAAACTTGAGAATTCAAGAATAAATATGACAGGATATTTTAAAAATGAAAATTTTAATAATGAAGGGAAACTAATAAAAACCAAGTGGATTTTTGTTGTCAGTGAATAGAATGGAAAAAAAAGATAATAAAAGTTGGCGTATGAGCAAAAAAGCAGAATAGATATTTTTAGTATATGGTAGTTGACGATTTTCCTAGACGTACAAAAAAACATTTGTGATTTTAGGATTGTAATGAAAGAGATGACGTCCAATCTTTTCTTTTTAATGAATCTCTTCTCGGTATTATAAATGATTTTGAGATTTAAAAAACTTTGCTAGAATAGAATGATTAATGTTAACTAAAATGTTAGAATAGAAGATTTTATGGTAAACACATTATGTTCTACAATTTCAATAGATAAATGAAATTGTGCGGAAATGCAAATCAATAAACCTAATTCTTTAAGATCAAATGAATGATGTTACATACACACATTGAGTTGTTCAGTGAAAAGGTATCCTCAATTTTACTTTTAGAAATAAAAACAAGGAAACAAAAAGTATCATTCCCATCACTAATGCACGAAAAAGGATAGTTTGATAAACTTGAAAATGAACTTTAAAACACTAACCACTGGATCAATAAACAAGTACATATTTATGTAGAACAATAGTTTCAGTGTATGTGATTTGTCTGATAAGTGAATCGAAAGCCAGGAAAAACTTCTGGTGGAGTTGTATTCTTTGAGCTGCATAGTTTATTCGTGAAGTCTTCATTGTCTCTCTAGACAAAATTATCAGCACCAACTTCAAATAAAAGACAGGCATGATTAGTCGACATTAATTCCAATCGACTTTTATTTGTTACTCATATCGTTTGACCTTTTCTTTTTGAAATATTCTGTCAAGTTCTTTCCATGGATTTTGAAACCTGGATGAGACGATTTTGTGGAGACTGTTTTAATCTAAGTAGTATATGTTCACCGATTGATATCAATTAAGATACCACTTAAAATCAGGAGGACAGGTTTCTATAAAAAGTTTGTGATGATGTCGTCTAGAAAGATAACCAACGTGTCAAGATTAAATAATCCAGAATAGACAATAGAACTCTACCAGGATCATCCTCCTAAGCAACAAATCCTCTTCACTGTCCCTGGGAAAGACTTTCAAGAGATTGGTCGGATGTCAAGAGGTGCTTACGGAAATAATGCATCAAAGAAAAACCCTCTTTCCAACAAAATCAAGTCCTTTAGGGAAGTTAATAAAGACTGCACGGAAGATAAAAGACCAGAACAAAAGAAGACCCTCTAGTACTAATGAAAACATACTCTTTGTGACCTAGTTGTCTATCCAGTGTCCGGATGATCGGTGAGACACTGGAATTAAGAAAATAGTCTATGTGCACCATTATGAGAAGATGTGACAATATAAAGCAGCTGTAAAACGAGACTTTTGGGATGTCTTAAACAATAGAAGCAGAGCCGAGACAACCGTATTGTGAATAAGATTGATGTGTTTTGAAGTTTGTGAAATAAAGTTTCTATGACTTCAGTTCGATTATTTATTGGACACGCTAAGCATATACCAGTAGTCTACAAAAAAATATGGTAGCAAGTAACGCTCAGAAAAGCTAATTTAAAGTTTAAACATATTTTCTCATTTTATCTTAAGTAGATATTTTTGATAAATTGGAAAGCAAATAATTTTATTCTATGGATGAATTTGGTGTTACGACTAAGAGTAAGACAGTGAGATGTTCTGCAATTTGAATTCGTGTACAAAATCGCAGAGATCTAATAATCATGTAACTATGTTGTTCAATCCTATAAATAGATACATGTTTATATGATTAATTGAATAAATATAATGTAATTTTGTAAAACAATCACACAAGTGATAACTTACATCGAAATTTAGAATTTGGTCAACACCAGGTTTCATGATATGTTTTGGGAAATTATTAACTATAAAAAAGCAATATAAAAATAAATTCAGTAAGGCGAAACATAGTTAAGTGCTTACGTTCAATATTTTTAACTACCGTATTATCAGGTTTGAATAAAACTTCATCTATCAAGGTTTAAGCACAATCGTGTAGCAGTACCATTAGTCTTCAACGTAGTTTAGTTTACAGATTACTATATTATTATAATTAATACAACTTAATAATTTGAAAAAAATTGAAAACGGATTTAATCTGAGAAACCCTAGGACATCAAAATTACAGAACTATTTTCATCTTTTGAAATAGTTTAGCAACATAAATATCCCAACTTATAATCAATCAGGTACGAAGACATAAAAGCAAAAATGTACGAATCTGGTAGGCAAACTAGTTTATGATAGGTTAATAACCTGAATTCAAAAGGTAACACAAATACAAATTTGGTGGTTTTTTATTCACTAAGCTCTGTGGTTTAACTGAAAAGATTTCATTGTCGACGTAGACGACAGTTCCAACTTCTACTACAAATAGATCTGAACACTGATATAATTATATCGAATCAAAGCTCAGGGAACGCAACACTATCAAATAGATCCATTTAAGCTTTTGAACATTTCAAGAACTTGAAACGAAAGTAAAACAATATTTTAATAATTTGTACTGTTTAACAATCTTATTAGTCGGTGTTTAATTATTTTATTACAAATCTATCGTGAAAATGCTTATCATTTTAAGAATATAAAAATCGATTGAAGCGAATATCCCTATTCTAATTTTTTTCTTAATAGTTTGACATAATTCCAAAGAAATTCATAATATAAAAATATCCCATACATGTACAAGATTAAGCTATAAAAGAGAAAACAAACAGTATCTCCAGAGCAAGTTTCCAATAAGGAATGTCGTCATCGATTAAAGCACTACCATGTACCCAGAGTTTGTTACTACTTCTCATTAGTACACAACCATAATACAAAAAAACATGAAATGTCAGATTAGAATCACTGCTATGATCAGTCCCCGATTACTTAATGTATATTCTATAAGCAAGCCGAAAAATAGACCCACACAAATTCAAAGTTATTGAATCATTTTGCCCACAATTATCTGGAAAATAAATCTCATCATATTCGTTACGTCATAGATGGTAGTTGTCACGGACTGACCGCAGTTAGTGTTTCAATGAAAATCAAGAAGCACTCGATAGATATTTAATCCTAGTATAAAAGCTGTCAGGAGTGTGGACCCATAATCCAGTCAGAGATCGAACATCAAGCACTTAACATTTTACCAAGTGTCCTAACCAAGTTTTCTGAATATGAAATGTATAATTACTTGATTTTCACCGATATTACACATTTATTTAAAACTAAAAATACCCAAAGGTTATTTAGTTGACCTGAAGAGAATAAATATTGGGATTTTTATTGCGAAAATATTTTAAAGTACAAACGTCTAACTGTTTAAATCGTTTAATCACTTAGTGAAATGAAATAACACAACGATTCTCATTTACTGAATAATTCTACTATATAATAGTAAGACAAATACAAGTCAAATAATTACTAAATATTGCACGATTCCTTGTTTTGGGAATCGATTAATGAGCTAGTGTGCATACAATGGATTACAAAAATAGTTGTTCAAACATGATACACATGTGGTGTATGCCACTTATGTTGACAGATATAAGTAGCATATAACACAGTTTAGAAGTGGAATGCCTATCAAAAGAAGGCTGAGAAGATTGAACTGAAGAAAAAAGAAAAAGAAACAAAGAAATTGAGAATTGAAAGAATCATGAAGGATGTAAACGACAACTAATGGAAGATGTGCAAATGAAGTATTTAATTTACGAAGACACCTTGTAAACTTGCATTAAAATATAAAATGGTTATCCGCACCATGTCTTCGTTCACTACACATATATGAACTATAATGCTTTGATATTTTAATTTATATCAAACTATGAAAAATATGGCTACACAATCATACTTAAATACAACAAGGATCAAATTTGTACAGCCTTAGATTTTATAAAGAGGAAGAGATAGATTAATTTTAAAGGAGTGAAAGAAACATACAGATGGATCGAGAAAAAAAAAGAATTTTAAAGATAAATAATTTATATCAATTTTATTAATGTTTAATTTATAGAGATAATCAATAGAATAGAATTTTTAATCGGATTGAATTGATATCGTTGTACAACAGTTAATAGAACCATAACAATCATCTTTATTAATCTTGACTACTCATGACATAAAAACAAAATTACAAAAAGAATTAATTAATTAATTAATTAAACTTACACATATTCACTAACTGTTCAACAAGTTGAGCATAAGTTAATTCATCACGATCATTTTCACTTAGATTAGGTAATGGTAAACAAAGTTTATTCTCATGAGTTAATAAGGGTACATTCAAATAATGAAATAATACAATAGAAGGATTCTATGGAAAGAAAACACAGAGAAAACATTGGTTTATTAATTAAAATCAGTAGTAATAATAGCCAGTGAACAAGTGGATTCAGTGAAAATTGATGTGTTTTTTTTCTGTATTACGTACTGACTAAATCACTAAATTAATTATTATTATGTCTAAAACCAATCGATAAAATGAATTTTCATCGACTGAGGTGGTTGAAAAATGTATGATGTGTATCATTTACTGTTCCACTGAGCTATGTTAGTAGATGCAGATTATCTGATTGGGGTCCGTGCGATTACCGTGACCAATGGTTGAAGACGTTGCGTTATGAAGCTAAAAATCGATCGCAGTGTTGGAAATGTACTCATTCTTCGGCTTTGAGCTGGAAAATTATCGCCCATTGTTTTGTGACCTTCATTTCCACTTATAAATATTCACTAGTTAACTGACAAGTAATTTATCAAACTATTGTGATTGAATATGTTGAGCATGAATTACAGTTTAAATTCACTTATAATGGATCAGTGTATCAGTGGTGATGGTGTACGAATTTCAACGCGTTTGAATCCCTTCCCAATTAATTTGGTCTAAGTAATCGAGTATTAGTACTAACCCTCAGATTAAGAGTGTGGTTCGAAGTCAGGTACACTAATCAGTACCTGGTAAATGAGCTGAGCATATATATATATATATACGTAAGTACATCAATTCGAGTTGCCATACCACATTAGCACAGAGATGCAGTTGTCGACTCAAATCCCGTAGTGGTAGAGGTAGTAAGAGTTTAAGGAGTAATCGCAAAGATTAGGGTTTGAAGATGTTATTTAAAAAGTATAAATCAGTGAAATAAATTTGGAAAGAGAAAAAAAAGAGGCAAGGAGGATTCAGGAGATTAGAATTTGGGATGCACCTACGCCATTGTAAACGATTTTGAACCATGTCATTCAAGGTCTCTAACCATCGGTTGATATCGTCTCCCCGATCCCAACTAGGTAGTCTACACCTACCAACATGACTCAGTCCACTTGTCAGCGACTTCATGGATTTGTGCCACACTTCGGTCTGGCCGCTCCTAGCTTTCTTCCAACCAACTCCTACACCATAAAACATCGCACGTCGGGGCAGTGGGTGGTCGGGAATACGTAACACATGTCCCAGCCATCTCAACTGATGAAGCCTTACTAATTCATCAATTTATTTAATTGAGAATCAGAAAATCGATTTTGTGAGCACATTATTAGTTTCGCTATACGAGTAATTATAATATTTTTTCAAGTCAACAATGTCGTAAAAACGATCTGTTTATAACATAGCATGAAAGTTATTACAACGGTTACAAAATAATGCTTTTAAATGAAAAACCGGAATAAATTATTATTAATTAACGTGTGCATGTAAAACAAATATACACATGCAATATGAGATTCAATCGGATAAAAATGGATAATAACTTACAAATCTTAATGAATAGGTCCGTCGATGAAACGTAGAGATTAAAGCGGAATGTGCATAATTGGCGATAATACACTGGAAAATATACCGAATGAGAGAAAAAAAACATTATTATCTATTAGTGAATCAAAGTAAAAACACTTGGAATAACACACGCTTCTACTTTAATTGACAGATTCCGTAAAAAAATTACATGATCAATAAAAATAGGATATAGTACAACAAATAGGTACAATATTAATGCAACATTTATAATGACAACTAATTCTGTAAATTATCAGTCATCCTTAATTCCTAGGAAAAGTATCCAGAAGACAAGAATAACGTGGAAAATACATATCAATTAGACGTGTTAAGAATCGTCTAAAAAACTTATAAAGCAGTTCTTTGGGCTTTTATTTAATCTAAATGAATAGTTTGAAAATTTGTTAACAATTTTATTATCCTTTCTAAAAACCTCTCGAATCGCCAGGTCCCCTTCAGTTTTATATATACCCCTGTTTTCTGTACAGAAACTATCCTCGAAGTAGGCCTGGTTTAATATTCCCCTCCTCCCATTTTTTATTCAGAGTTCAAGTGTCGAAGAAATAGGTCAGTAATGGACATACGAATGATAGCATTTGTAACGTCAACTGCTGTGAAACTGGTGTGAATACTAAAAGTAAAATCAATATTTTAATTAGAACGCAATTATACACATCTTCATTCCGTATGTATCCGTCTAATCATACATGAAACTTATCATGTTAGCATAACATTTGTAAATATGAAATAAATCCTCCTATAAGCTAAAAACATTTCTCATCATAAGAAATACATTGTGAACATATTTCCTAAATCTGATTGAAACCTGCTAGGATAATCCATTAAGCGTTCCATGATGTTGGAAATCGTCTTTAAACTACATTTAGTCAAACAGTCATCTGGAAAAAAGTCATTACACTGACCTCGATCCCTTGAACTTTAAGGACCATGTGAACTTCTTTAGTAGTACGTCGATTCGGTTTCTTTTTCCATAAATAACCATCTTGTTTACGTGCTACGGTGGCCAATTCTCGTCGATAAAAAATAATGGAACCATTTCTAGGACTGTTTTAAAATATTTCAATGAATAATAGTAAAAAAAATCTAAAAGACATGAAGCAATATGAAATTACTAATATTAAAATTTTCTAACAGCCTGATTATCCTTATAGATCGAAGTGCATTCTTCAGTAGTCTACAGAATATATCTATAAATGCCTATAAAAAGGTGACAGAACGTGTATACGTATTTCGAAAGTAAAAATGAATGAAAAACTGGTAATGGATTTGTGTTTTCAGGCACAGTTTCCCCTTAAAAAATACAGGAAAATAAGTGATTAACAACATTAACCAGTATTTTAATTAAATTTTGGAAAGGTCCTTTCTTCCTTCCTTCACATATCAAATAAAGTAACGACTAAGATGGAATCGATTCGACAAAGCTCAGAACTTATGTTTACGTATGATGGAAAATATGAGGCAGGTCAAACTGTTACAGTTCTAATTTGTAATAAAACCCTTTCTGCATGACAGTAATATAATTGAATATTCGACTATAATTCAGTCAGTAATCTAGGAGTCATGGCTGCAACATGATTTTTTTCGAATCAACTCCCTAATGATTTGAATACTGAACAATACCATTTCTCAAATGTGTTTAAAATGGTGAATAATGAGGTGTTAGGTTGTCAGATGGCTGGAAGAAGTCAGTAGAAAGTCTTATGTTAGTTAACACTGGTTAGAAAAACAAATACATAAACCTTGGATAAATAATGCTCTTTGTGGAATTTGAATCTATGCACCTAAGCAGAAAGATTGAATTGTGATTAGTAATATAAGCTTGTGCGACTACAGAGTATTGTCCCTGCTTACATAATATATGCAGATGACATACTTAAACGGATCTTATTTCGTTGAGTAGAATTTATTAACATTATAAAAGTACTTACCGAACTTGTATAACTGATGAAAGCCAGTTGGGATGTACACATGCTCCTAGCAAAAGCTCAGCAACTTCCTTTTAATTTAGAAAAAAAGGATTAGTCGAAAATGAAACGTTTTAAAGGCAGTAAACAATTTTTACATATAACCATATCCTCAAAACACACGAAAACAATTCTTTAGTATAACACGTAATTAACTAACTGCTTTTGTTTCTTTAAAAAAACCTATATTTGACAATAGACGTCTGTTATAATCACAGAAAAGGTGGTTATGAATGCTTAAATAATAGTATTATTATTATTACTGTTTTTATTTATGGGTTTATTCAATATTATATTTCGGTACAATATAGAATTCTCGGCACAGATGAAAATATTTATTATCATCATCCACAGATTGTGGTTTCTTTAAATAATAATAAATCAGTCTGGCATTTGTTCTTTGAAAAAATAAACTTGTTAACTCTGTGATAAGAGCCATTTGTTATACTGATAAAACTATAATTGTATAAATTTGACATTCCAAATGTAGGGAAACTTCAGTGGAAAATAATTACCTCATGAAGATTATGTCAGTTATTTATCTTTTCACATACAAGTATGAGCTAAATAGTTATATATCTCAATCAGTAACAACGTAGAACTTCGTACGTACGAAGTCCAAAATAGATACGTTGATCTGATCGAAAATCACCTTAAAAACTGACTACCTGTCTATTGAACAACCTCGTAAGCCAAGCTTGTATCTGGCAAAATTACACATTCCATCGAAATAAAAAAGGTTCGCGAACACTAAACAATCAGGATTATTACACTTAACAATTAAGTATATAAGTAATTAAATTAAATTCCACATACCTTTTGATTGCACCAAATAAGTTTACGTGCTATACAAACTGAAGGAATCACAAGATTGCTTAAAGGTTGTGGAATATCAGATGAACATTGATTAAATGCTAAAACGTTATTATTACTATTACTGTTGTTATTGTCACCATGATGTGTAGTGTTAATAGCAGAAACACTACTTTTATGAATGTTATTATAACTGATTGGCAGATAATCTGGTGAAAATTCACTAGATTGACTTTTCATGTGGAAAAATCCATTTTTTACAATAAAAATGTAATCCAATTGTTTCTCCAGGTGAATAAATAGATTGATAGCGATAAGTAAATAAACGAGAAATAGTCACAAAAATATGTGACCATATATAGCACCTATGTGTAATGATCCCAACGAATATTGAACCAAATCTAGTACTAGAAAATAACAATAATAATAATAACTGAATTGAATTGAAAGTAAAAATAAACGATAAATATGGGCCAAAAGAACTTAACGAGAAACAAATTACATAGTTCAATATTGAAATACACATTTACTTTGATTAAAAGAACTGGACATCTGATCCATCATTTTAAGGTGAATATTGCGAATACTATATACGATAATAAAAAAATACAAAATAAACAATATCATACATCGTTACTCACATGTCCTAATATAAAGTCTGGAATTGGTTCACTTAGAAAGCCTACGTTTGTACTACCGAAGAATTTGGCAGTAGAGTACTATAACTAAAGATGGTTGCGTAGGTTAATTGAAGTCAACAATGCAGATAAGATTTATCTCCATCCACTAATAACTTTTAATGAAATATTGACTTAAAATAGTAGCAGCTTCAAAGTTTAAGAAAGGTTATAAACAGACAACATTAAGAACAGTCAAAACTCACTGCAGTACTCAAACTATACGAAAAAATCGAGAAACTCAAGTTGTCGGTCCTCCCTAGAAATGGCTATTCCAGGAACTTTGTCAAAACATATCCGGTGAATCAACATATCGTAGAGAAATCAACCCAGAAATCCAAGAAACATGTCGCCATATACGAAAATATTTCGAAACGACAATAATTTTGAAATCTTCCCAACCAGTATCTCTCACAAACCAACGCGATCACTCCAGTCCCATTCATGCAGACCGAAAAAGCGCGATATCAGTCAGTTAGTTACATGTGATATAAAAGCGACATCAAAAGAAGACAAATCCAACATTTACAAAACAAATTGTGCCAACAGTAAGGAACACCATCCAGGACATACATAACACGCCTTCACTTACACAAACACGAACATTAATTAGTGGTGAATCGATGTGTTGTGAAGACTAAAATCAATACACATAGACAACCATGAACACGTATTTGACTAAAATGTCGTGAATACGGATCAATAAAATTCTGAGGAACTGAGTTTCTAAAAGCACAATAGTTAGGCTAGTTGGCAGCCGATAGGCATCGATGTGGATCCAATCTATCAGAGTCCAACTGAACAAAACAATCAGTAGAAATGCAAGGACATGTGAAAATACCAATTCATAAACAACGGCATCAGAATAAACGTATTTAGTAATGACGGAACAAATGAAAAGTTCACTTCTGCACGAAAGAAGCCTTGATGATATTGTTTAGAACGATAAAAAACGTAACATTTAAAACATTTATCTACGAAAACATAACGTCAATAAATAAATCCACTTGAGCTGAAAAATATTGTCCATCGTTTTAATATCTGCGATTGTTATTTCGTAATTTTTAATATATTTTTTTATAATCCCTAGAGGATAGAAAGTTTGTAAAAATGCTTGGGATGTGTAAATGTTGGAAAGATCTCTATATCCAAAAAGCTGTAGCCGTTGTAGATTATATAGGCCAAGAGTTTGATAAACAGAGCCTGGAAATTCGTCACTGAACCAAGTGACAAAGGAACTGAAATGGATTTAGTTATATCCACTTTGATGAGGTGAAATAAAATACCAATCACTATCTGGAGAACTACAAATGTAAGTACTTATCATTAAATAAATGACAATATGAGCACCAAGAAAAAGGACTTGGTGGGGAGTTTTATTTTTGTGAGTATTATAATGCTCCCTATTATAATCATGTGCCAGTCAGTCGATGGTCATCATTAACCTGGGGTTTGGCATAAGTGTGCGTCACACCACTTTACCATACTGCATTAGCACGAAATGAAATTAACAAGATGAGTATCATAGGAATCAAAATAATGTAGTACTGGGAGACTAAACATTGAGAATGATTCAAAAATAAAGAACTAAAAGGCATATACATAAAAGAATTTCGGGAATAAAGATCTGGAGGGAGATAGAGTGAATGGGTCGTGTGGTCATGGACGATTTTAAGGGAATTCACCTAACGTCTTCAACTACTGATCACAGTTAACTCATGGACCCAAACAAAATAGTCTGCAGCTACCTACATGCCTCAAATCAACAGTCATAGACTTTATTTCTTGATTTAGTCACCTTTAGCTTTCTACTAACCTACTCATAAATCAGCTAACATCCCTTGTCGAAACGGGTGGTGCGTAAAGAATACGTAATACATGTACTAACCACTTCAGTCGATGAAGATTTATAACTTGGACGAATAATTCGAATAGACAGCCTTTTAAATGTATTTGTTTATTTGGGAGACTTTTCAATGACAAAAATTGCTGTAAAACCATCTGGTCAACGAAGTTGAACGATACCTTAACGTCGAGAAGTACAACTAAAGTGGGACATTGGTAAACAAACTTATTTTCAAAAATTGGATGGAGAACAATAACTTGGTCAATGCATCCACGTTCATGTCTGAAACCAGATTGCTCTTCCTAGGGTCGTTCTTCACGAGCGCGATCAGTCATCGACACCAGTTAAATAGGATTACATCTATTTCCCAAAATTTAGCTGTTACCTTAGTCATCTTATTCGCTACAACGGGAAAACCACCTGTAAATATCTCTAGAGTTAATCCATCATGATTCACTCCTCTCTTTAGCTTTAAAATGGATATAGCTTTTTCAATCTCATTAAGAGTTGAAGGACTTGTGTCGATTTCCCATTCAAGTTGTTTGGAGATATCGGGTAACTGGAGGCTAGTTGGACTGTTCCTCAAAGTGTTTTCCTCATAGGTCTAATCTCCTGGACTGGGAGTTAAGAGGAACCGTCTTTTTCCGATAGTCCTAATACCTGTTTTCTTGATCAATCGGAATAGTTGTCTAATATCATACGTAGTCCCTTCCTTTTCTATCCCTTTTGGATTCATCTTTCACCACTGACCACGATAATCTGTAAAACGTCTTGTTAGTTTACGCTTAAGTTATCGTCACTCTTCACTTTTTTTTCGAGCCTAGCTAGATGAGTTTTCGAACATCTATCAATTCAGTAGGTGATACTAAAATCCAAAGATCTTTCGCAAGCTTTTGATATGAGCTGTCGGTAGATGTCAGTGCTATCGTTACAGCTAGATGTGCATTTACCCAAGCTTCTTCAGGATGAACCGTTTTTCTACGATCGACTGAATGCTCAGCTATTTTCTTCCTGAATGCATCCCTGACCTTCACATTTCCGGATTGATATCTAGATCTTTCTGTTTTGACTTGCCTATGTCCAGTAAAATGCATAGAAATACGTGTTTTGGCTATGGCATGATCGGAGTCTATCCAGATGTTGTAGGAGTGAAAATCTACAAAGCCTGTCCAAAGAAGGTTGATAGCAATCGAATGCGTCCAATGACGTGCTAATATTTCGGGCTTCCAGATGAAATAACATCTCCTTCTATGCCAAAGGCTTGTACTTGCTAGGAATAATAGATTATCTGAGGATAATTGCAGCAGATGGTCATCATTACTTGCTGACCTCAAACACTATGAGACCAAACTAATCTTTTTTTCAGTATGATATGGGTGTTAAAATAATTTGCTAAGATCACCAATTCCGACAGCCTAGTTTTTCTGTAGGTTCTAATGCAGTCGGTGGGGACACAGACAGAGACGATAAAGAGGTGATAACAAGTCTCTGTCTTTTCAAGTTTTCACCGTGCTATTTGTGACAGACGGAGCATAAGCGACTATTAACAGGGATCTAGAGAAGACGTATTTGTTGTCTTCAGACTTGGTACTATATTTGCACTATCAAGGCCACGAGAAATTTTTGTCACGTCTTCAGATACAAGAAGGAAACATTATGTTGGCTCTTTATATTAACTAAACTAGGTCAAGTGAAGGACCACACTACGATAGGTGTCTTAAAGACGAAGCATATATCAATTTTGGAACCCTAAAAAATATAGCTTGTAGTGGTCAGGATACAGTAATGTCTGATCGACTGAGACAAAATAGCGGGTAACAGCTTCTGGAGTTTTCAATCTGTGATCACATCTGCTCAGTCTTCAAATAATCGTTTATTTTTAATGCTCACTACTTATGAATCTATTCGGAAATCATCTAACGAACTATCTCAAACTATTGAAACCTGCGATATTTTATCTTAATATTCACGAAAAGTCAATATGATAGCTCGCTACAGTAACTGCTTTATTGCTTACTGTTTACAGGATTTCATACATATAAAAAGCATTGATATAGGGCACGTAACAGACCTATGAAAGTTTCGAAGACGATATGCAAAGTTCCAATCTTTGAAGGAAATTGTGATGACGCAAAATTCAAATTAGGTCTAAGAATTATTATGAAGACTTTGGAAATCGAGAGCAAATCTACTAATAAAAGAGCTCATGGGCCGAATGTTCTATGTATGATTAAAGTGGAGTTCGAGAATACTAACACAAACACTTGCGTATTGAAAGTAGAAATTTTGTGTTCCTTCTGGTAAACAGGATATGAGCAAAACTTGTTATACAGTCCTAAACAGATATACGCCTGAAAATCACTTCTTAGTGTAAGCTGAGAGTCCGATGTATCTAACCTTAAGACAAAGAAGATTTGTGGGCGGGAAGTTTACATGAAAGCTTTCAGTTGTTACGTACGATTAATATAAACAGAGTACGACGGGAAATAGATACAACTTAATGCTATCTTTTCAGAGATCAGGATCTTAGGAACTACCTAAAGACGTAGATACTTGCAAGTATTATGCTGAGTGCTAAATACACAGAACTGACAATAGTTAAACTGGTTACGTGCTCAGACAACCTGGCAACTAAAAGCACTTTAAACCTGCTAACAATTTGAGAGGGTCCTTTAACATTGATTTTTAAAACACGATATTGGATAATTACACAACCTCATATTACTGGATAAGACGATGATGGTGTGAGAACGGTAGCAGAAAACTTTTACAAAGTTTATCTTAACTTTATTACTATTTTTAGTATTGACATATTTGGTCTGCCACATTGAAGATGATTATTCACCACTGAGAACACCCGAAATACCGGATGACACATACGAACTTGGCAACGAAATTCTAACATAAAAATGGAGTTTCCGGGTCTAATGCCGAGTTAAAACCTATTAAAACTTATCATAGAATATGACACGTCTGAAAGTTACTGGAACAATATACTAACGCTATCATCAGTTTGAATAACAGACTTTGAGCCACCAGGGTGTTTCACTTTAGAAATTAATGGCTTGGGCAAAAGGAACGACTACTAAAATTTAGATACTCACCTGACCAACTTGATAAATAGAAGTGCAAAAAGAACCAACAAATTTTACACTTTCCAACAAGAATTAAAAGACAGAACACATATTCACAGACACCAAACAGAACGAACAGTTCGGGTAAACATAAAAGCAATTATAGCCATGAGGGGAAGAAAACAAAACAAGTCAACTGCAGTAACGCAAAGAGTAGCGAGTACACTGAATACAGCGGTTCTATTGTGCACATATTTTAAAGTATACGCTCAAAAAGTACTACTGAATTTGTATTTAGGTAAAACGTCTATATAGATTGTATCGTCTTCTACGTCTTAGCACACTCAATGGTTTCTTTCTTCTTGTCCAATAGTGTAGGTCTGAATCAACTGGATCATAGTAATCGTAAGGATCAGGTTGATAGGCGTCCCCATAAGGCTGGTTAACTCCATCACCATATTTGTACGGAGGTGGAATTTCTCTCAACCATCTTGGAACATAACTACCGATGTATGGTCTTGGATAGGGCTTAGGATATAAATATTTACGAAATATTTCCGGATGATGTAAGGCTAGGTATGACAAAACAGATTCTACAGTTTGCTGAGTAAGTGTAGCAGTTGGAGAAACTGAAGACCCTGATTTTACTGCTGGTGTAGCTGGTAAAACTCCACCTGGAAATCCAGCATTGCCTGGCTGTAAGACAGATGGAGTACTCCCAGGGAAAGAAGCAACAATTATGTTGTCTGATGGTGAGCTGATACCGGGTACAATTCCTTTCCCTGGGGAAACAGTAGGAAAATAACCTGGAAATCCATATTGCGGGCGATATGATGGGAAGATTCCAACAACTGAAGATGCTGGCTGGATATTTGAGTTTCGAGCTCCAGCATTAAAATCTTCACCCCCTGTATTTTCTGTACCTACAGAAACTGTACTTTGAACGGGTGTTGATACTTGAGATGAATCAGATACAGCTATTGAATTTGGACTTATTTGAGTGGCTTGGATAGAATCACTAGGCACGACATTAGTATATCCCATCCCAGAATTCATTCCATTCGAATCGGTTAACTCCATTTGAATCTGTCCGTATGTAGCACATAGTGTTATGGAATTAACAAATAATTGAAAAATAAAGTTAACTGTTAATTTTCGAATGATATAAACAACTTTCATCTTGATGTTTAGTGAGAATAGTTATTTAATTTAAATGAAGTGAATTTATGAGCTCTAATCAGTGAATAAATTGTTTAACCCATAATTTAAGTGATTGTGATTAGTGTTTATATGATCCATCAAATTTGAGATTGGTGATCACAGTTCGTATTCATCTAATTGTTAATTTAAGTCATTTTCTTAATATTAAACTCAAAAATGGAGATTTTGATTGTTCAAACAGGAGGTAAAGTCAAATTAAATTGTAACTAATACGCTTCCAGGTACAATAGATAAGTGTTATCCTAAAAATATTGGGGGTTATGCCTTTGAAATTGGCAATAGTTATGCCATGGAGATTTGCAGTAGATACACATTGCCGGATTACATAAAATTTCAGCTCACCAAACCATTTTTAAAGGACAGTTTAGAAATCTCAATGGAAGATAGATCCAAACTTATTAATTTATTGATTGATACTCAGTTTGAGAAGGTGACATCCAAATAAGCAATTAATAATTTTTTTGGTAATTGAAGATACTTATCACTCATGGAACGGATACAATGATTGAAACTGCACAGTATTTGACTAATTATGAAGAGAAACTTAAAAGCAAATGTATTGTGATAACAGGTAAATTGTCTAGTTTATTTTTTTGGCGAACGTATTGAAAAGATTTTCTCCGTTGAATGCTTCATTTTTCTACAAACAAGTGATTTTTAACATGTGCGTGATAGATAGTTATTCAGGGATTGTTTTTCAGTTAGTGACCCTTATCAACTTCACATTCAATCTAAGTTTTCTAGAATATAATCATTAAAGAAATTATTAGCATAAAAATATGATTTTCAGTCTAATGTGAGAATAGGACATCAATATGATAAACATTCATGATTTGCAACCCTTATTTACTCATATTCATGGAATGTAATATCTTTTTGCTATTGACGATGAAGTTTACCTAGCAATTATGGTTTTGTACTTAGCGTTGTGATTCATATTTATTTTAATGAGAATGAGTGCCTACATCAACAAGGTGCTGCTAAAAGGAAGGATGTACTCGATGTCACATTGAGGGATAAGTCTTCTAAAACATCACAAAAGTTAACTAATTTTACTGTTCAAATTTCGAACCATACAGCCATACCTCATGTACGAGATAGGACTTATTTATATTATGTTACGAATCGACAAGCTCACAGAGTAAGATTTTTTAAACATTCGTCGCATTTGTTAGTATATCAGAATAATAACTGGGTACTATATATATAATTCAAGCTTCTGCAATGTAATTGTCTTTCGTTTAAAAGTGACGATACATATTGACATCATACAAACACTACCTTATCTGTTCATTATACATACAAGTATGTAGTGTCAAAGTGTGATTTAAATGCAGGGTAGTAGCTGACATTTATTATTTTTTTAAATCATACGTGCTCACTGGTATCTAAGGCGTTGAGATTTTTCCATATTTTGCTAAATGGCCCATCTCTTAGAAATAGTAATTTTAAATTTCTCTTCTTTGATAACTGAACTGTTAATCATAGATTGAAATGGATTTAAGATCAGTTATTTTACTAACTTAAACAAATGTACTAATGTGGTAAATCAATTTCACATGCGATGTCTCTTGATTTTCCACCAATATGGTCACTTCAGTCATGATTTGACAAAAATGTACATCCCCTGTAATCGCCCCACCATCATCAGTAAAATAAAATCAACAAGATACTTAGAGAAAGCAACAAATAATAACAGTACCAATCACACTGTTGTGCTGTTTCAAATATATATACATCGAGTTATTTGCAGAGTGACTGCTAATCATAAGAAATAAACTACCGTTTCATTTGTAGAATCACATTTATTGAGATCTGTAGTTTGTTCGCTTAAACTGCATTAATTTAAGTAAACCTAATCAGTGCTTGAGAGCAGTACTGGTGAATTGACATGAGTGAAGTGTAAAACCCATACAGACTTAATTCTCAAGTACCATTGCAAAAGATACAAGCGACAAAACTTAGTCATATTAACTCTCAAGAAGTCCCATCTGTATACTCTTCACTTGATTTAGTCTTCGAGTTTTTGAATGTTTTTAAGAAGTAATTTAAAATTTCTTAACTCGACTTTTGATACTAAAATCCACAACTTTTCGATCTAGGTGCTTTTCGACCCGGTGTATTCAAAAATACAGATGCGGACTTCAACGTAGCATTTGCAATTGGTGGACTGATAATGTCAAAGAAGCCAGGAATTTTCATAGCAATGCATGGTCAGTTTTATCAGCCAAGTGAAGTTGTTCGTGATGGAGAAACAGGGACTTTTATTCCAATCGGAAATGAAAAGTGAGAGCCATCAGAGCATAACCTAGTATACAATTGTTAGATTCTAGTCAAACGTTCACCAGAGAAATCAACTTGCTACTGTTTTCATTCAAAATAGCATAGATTGATTATGAACAGCGAACTATCAATACAAGTTTGAGAATTCTAGATGCACTTAACAAGATAATACATTTGTTTTTTTACTTTGTATTATTACTATCTTTCTTGATGCTTCCATTTAATGATATTTCTTAAAATCTGCTATTATTAGCATGGAAATTTCTCGTAGATTTTATGGGATAGCTGTCAAGAAGCAACATTTTGTGTTTTCGTCGCTTAGTTTTTTTTAACTCTAGTTTGAGATCAAAATCGCTTTTCATCCATAGATTTATTCTCAAATAGATATTTTTTGACATCAAAAGGCCCAAAGTAACCTCTTGCATGATTTAGATAGGAACAATGCTTAGGAAACCTGAGTAAAATGACTATTCTTAAAATTTGAAATGGTACTTCAAACAGCAGTAACTGAAATCACTGAACAGAATGTGGTTGGTAACTTAAACTAAATACATTTCTATCGGCAAAGATTAACATGCGTCCATAGTCTCAGTGAAACGCTTGACTTAAAACCAATCTTGAAAATGTAATTATAGCTTTAGTTATCGAGACAAACGACAATAGGTCACAATACTCAACTATTTGTTTTAGAGCATCAACAACAATTACATTAACTTGTTCAAAAACGAGGTCAAAAGAAAAACAAAAGCCAATGGTGAAGTGCGATGCATATCATGTATTCCATACAAAACTCGACACATAAATGAATCGAAGAAAACCGTGATAGTGAATAATTGGCAATGCAATTGAAAAAGAATAAAACAAACTGGAAATCACCTATCATAATTTCGAAAATAGATTGAGTTTTGGATTTCGAAAGCGAACAAGCAGAAGCATAACAAACAAGCAAAAACAGTTGGAAAGTTTAAGACAACTAGTGGTTAGTGAAGTAAAGGGACGAAACTGAATAACGAGGCGGACAAAGAAAGGAAAAGGAAAAAAGTAAAACAGAAGAAACAAATATGAGTGGAACATTCAAACGGTAACAGAGGTGACGTTAAAGTATCTCGAATAAATAGTAATGATATTAGGGGATCAATAGCAATGTATTTAGAAAAAAACCTCCAACCGAACAATGTGCATGAAATTTTAAATATGTATGATTTTGTGACGTATGCAAACTAACACGTATGAATTCCATGATACTTACTTTTAAAACGCTTTAAAAGTGGCGTTGATGTCTGTCATAAATAAGAGAATCTTGTTCATGTCATAAAAAAGTTACATAGCTTTGCAGAAGTCGGAAGACCTCAGAAAAATGACAGATACAATATCACAGGCTATTTGAGAAAGCAAAGATGAATTTAGTTTTGAGATGATGTGTTCTGAAGGCAGATTTTGAATAAATTTGAATACTTTTTAGTTTATACACGCAATAAAATAAAACTAAGTTGGATGTGTCTATATTATGGTTTGTTTGTGTATCGAGGCACTGGAAAATCGCAATATAGATGAATATGAGAGATTAGTACATTTTCAGGATGATTCCAAGCAAAAAGGTGCAACGGGTGACAAAGGATGATAACTATGAAACTCAAGTCAAGAATAAATCACAAAAATCATTCTGGATGAAGTAAGCAGGTACACAATAATAGTAGTAATAATAAATAATATCAAACAACAACATTAACTGGTCATTTGGAGAGAAAGACTATAAGGAAGACAAGCGAACGTTTGGTACGACCGGTCCGACATAAAAATATGACTGAAATAACTGACAACAAATGAAAAAAATGACATTTATAGGTAGCTTTGGGTTCACGATGAAATGGGTGCATTTGTTTCATTTGTATGATGATTACGTGGAATTATTTAAATATGAATGTGAATGTCGTAAATACGAATGGTCGAGTTTCCTGTTATCCTATTTGACTGAAGAATAAAGGATGAGCAAACGTAGTAAAAAACGATGACGATAATAATGAACGTCACGTCAAAAATGAAGACAAAACGTGGCACAGCACATGGTTCCATGTATAAAGAAAGAGATATAACAACTCTGTGACTTAAAATTCTTATTCTCCTTTGTAGAAGGCACACGAACAACAATACGTTGAAATAATATAGCAATATTAATAATTGGAAAGACAAGAAAAACGGAAAAATCTAAACCAAAATAAAAACACGAAATAAAAAAGCACTACTCACAATTATTTTTGAATTGCAAAGCTGAATAGTCATAATGTAGATGAGGATGTGCGTTGAGAGAAAAAGCAAGTTAGATTTTACATTAAGATAAGTGAGTGATGATGCAATGACAACAAAGACAATGGAGTCGAGGTATTTTTTTAGTGAGTATAGTATAAACCAAGTAGTAATAAATTCAAGGTTAAGTGCCACAGAAACATTTACACACACAAAGTTAGATGCCTATAAATGTTATAAATTCCATAAACTATTCGTTCGACTAGTGTCATTATTTATGGAAGCTGTACTACAACAAATTCCATTCTTTTTATTATGCTCTTCACCTACACTCCCATCTGAAACTCGGCGAGGTATTAAACCATTAGCAGAACTATCAGTGGCCACGCCATTCCGTTTAAATGGTATTGAAATATTGGATATAGGAGATACAGCTCGAATCCCCAGAACAGGAGACTGAGTGGAACTTTTCGGATTTAATCTTTCACATGAAGTGATAGAATATAGACCTGTGGTTATATCTAAATTATGGCTTTCTGCCGATCCACGAACCGTCGGATCAGATGAAGCGCAAAGTGAATCCTGTACGTTCAACTCTTTAATTACTGGAATGACCTCAATATTATTGTTAATACTGTTGCACGTTGTAACGGTTAAATGATTTGCGCGTGTGTGTGAATTCATACTAACAGGTTGGTACGAAGAGAATGAAGATCGCCTATGCGTGTAGATCTGACTGGGTTGAGAAGGGACACAATTCTGTATGGATGCTGCCGCAAGATTTCGAAAGTTGTGCAATGAAAGATCGTTAGAATGAAAACTGTTTGACAAAACTGGAGATTGCTGACCACCCGAGTCAAGGTTCGTAAATGATTTGCCTAATCCACTTAACGTATTGGAATTTACAGTAAAATGATTGTTTGAAGATGAATTAATCATCGGTGAAGAATTAATGCATCCAGTTAAGCTGGACATCGAAATAAAACCATATAGGCTCAATACATCCATGGCATTAGCAATCTCGTCCGTTGCTACGTCAGAATACCCAGCACTTTTTAAAACACTACGTATTCCCTCAAGACCCATACCAGAATTAGGTGAAGAGATAGGTCTGGGTGGTCCATAAGTCGGCGAAATCCTAGCATTATAATGTGTCGCGACAGATCCTAAAAGGCTATGAGGGGAATGAGTAATGGTTTGGTGATTACTTGAATGTGTACTAGCAACACCACGACCCATCAATGCTCGACCACCATTTGGAACTAATGCAGACGATGACTTGGCGTTTGGAGAACAGGCAGCAACTGCACTCATAGCAGCCATAGCAGCAGCAACAGCTGGAGAGGAACTTCCGCCGAAAATGGATCCAGAAGCTGGATTCGAGGTAGTTGGGCTTACAGGCGAAAGAGAATTAATATGAGGAGGTGAAAAGCTGGAACTTGAGCCTGATGCTGCTCTGAAATGCATATCTGAACCAAAACCCATTCCGCATACAGGTAATCCTGGATGCGAGCCAACCGCTAAAGCATAAGGTGAGCCGGTGGGATAAGCACTTGCTACTGGTCCGATTATCTCGGAGTAAGATATATTTGGACAGCTAGACGATTGGGGATCCTCAGCAATCTTGCTTAAAATCAATGCTATAGCATCGCGTGTTTGCGAGAGTTCACCTGAATAAATTCGGATAAAAATTTATTAAGATCAACGGTGGGAAACCATATTTGAACAAAAGATTTTAACAGAATTTATTTAAAGATTATCTTGGAATTTATTCCACATTTTGAAACTGAACACAAAACTAAAAATATCATAACACTGATTTATACTGCACGACTGTTGACAAGAACTCCGCTTGTAGCTCTTCTAGAGTTACTGTCGGTCCCAAGCCCGTGGTAAAGGAGGAGGGTTAGGCATGGGGTTAGCGACCCCATCCCGTAGAAAACTGACTCGCTAAAAAAACGCTAACCAGAAAAAATAATTCAAACCATTTAAACTCTGTCCTGAAAGTTAGGTCTTCATTTAGAAGAAATATGTCGCCTCATGGTGAAAGCCGAGTTCCCTCGGAAGCCACGAGGCCGATGCCCCTGCTAAAAACCAGAGCAACAATTTTTATAGGTACATGGAACGTCCGGACAATATGGGAGACCGGGAGGACCAGTCAAATAGCAACGGAAATGAGGAGATACAACTTGACAGTACTGAGGATCAGAGAAACCCACTGGACCCAAGCTTGACAACAAAGGCTGAATACGGGAGAGATGCTGCTACACTCCGGTCACGAAGAGGAAAATGCTTCACACACACAGGGAGTTGCTCTAATGTTGTCCAAAGTAGCACGAAATGCACTTGTAGGATGGGAATCTCACGGATCCAGAATCATCAAAACATCATTTAAAACAATGAATATTATCCAATGTTATGCACTCACCAATGATAGCAACGACGACATTAAAGATCAATTCTGAGGCTGCAATCAATCATAGAGAAGTGCCCAAGAAAGGACCCCACCGTTCTGACGGGAGGTCTAAACGCCAAAGTCGGAATAGACAACATCGGATATGAAGATATCATGGGACGACATGGACTGTGTAGCAGCAGTCTCTGCATCAGTAGGCCTCAACATACACAAGAGGAAAACCAAGGTCCTCAAATACAACACGGTGAACAGCAATCCAATCACTCTTGATGGCGAAACTCTGGAAGGTGTAGAATCCTTAACGTACCTGGGAAGCATCATCGATGAACAAGGAGGATCAGATGCAG